CGTTCATTACTCACATGCCAGACACTCTACGTAAACTAAAAGCGGAAGAGGACGACCAGCGACGACAATTACAACTCCACTTCCAGCGCTCGACTGGAGAATATCCGCTCCACCTCGAACGATTCATGGTCATTGTCGCATACGCCTTCGATGGGTTTCCAGACGCAGCGGAAGACTTTTGGAGCGATAAAGAGAGCAACCTCTATGGATTCTTGCAGTGGGCAGCCAAGCGCCAACCTACACCCCGTATAGCCATGTTCTGCGAGATGTTACGCGCCATTGGTTCTGGAGAGGCAAATGCCGAAGCGGCGCATCGCTTCCTGCTCGAAGAGGGAGCATCTGCTTCCGGAAAGATCCGACGAACGAGTTCGCTCAGCTACACGACCATCTTCAACGAGCTACGCGAGTTCGAGAACGACATTCACGAGCCGAAGAAGCCTATCCAAAGCGGCGTCTACGCTCAGACCATGAACCCAATCGACCAGATTGTGGAACCAGAGAGCGCAACTATGCTGGAAAGCTACCTGAGACTCATTGCACACATTTGCCGACAAAGTTCTTCTGCGCGGATGTGGATCCTGGATCTCAAAGAGTACTCCTTTGCTGGCATCTGCTTTGGTCTATGCACCGACAAAGTTGAGAGCGGGCTTCGAGCAGCCGCTTACGACGCTCTGTCAGCTCTACTTGTGGGCAAGGACTTCACCCGTGCAGATGCCATGTGGAGTCTCTTGGATGAGTGGACGGTTAATGGCTTCTATACTGGATCCAGGCAAAACAACGCCTTGGGTGCTACTCCCAGAGATGATTTGTGGCCAACGCTCGCCGACGGATACGACGAGTCTATCGCCCTGGTTCGTTTCCTTCACTCGCTCATAGAGCCATATCCGGAGAACGAAGGCTTGAACGACAGTCTACCATTCCCGGAGGGCCTGGGTTCGTCGCGCAGGATGCCGGGTATTGAAAGCTACATTGACTTCGTCATGCAGCAGGTGTTTGCAGAACGTTCTCTGGACGTACTTGATCCGCTACAACGCAGCGTCATGCAATGGACATGCTTGCGCTTCATGGTAACATGTCTTTCCACGTTCAATGAGAATCTCGTCGTGTTCGCGAACAAGTCTAGCATACCTGTTGATTCGGTCATCGACCCCACGTCACTTGCTGTGTACGTTGCGCTTCACCCATTTGCACGCGTCATGGAATGGCTCTTCAACGACAAGGTTCTGAAAGCTCTGTTTGTTGCATCGCATCACGACGTGACCGAGGTCGACGCTGCTCCATCTGACTCACCGTTGATCCAATCCCTGATGCTTAGCATTGAGGTGATGGATCTCGTGATGAAGCTCCAGGCGACATACCTGGATATCGTCAAGCCAGTTCTCAAGCAACAAACGTCGTTCCAGCATTCTCCCGTATCGAATTTGTCGCTTGCATCTTTCGAAGATGCGATCTTGAACAACTTGCAGGTTATCGTCGACCTGGGACTCTACTGTGGTACCGGCCACGAAGCCTTGACCATTGCCTCTCTCCAACTGCTAGAGAAGATGGCTTCTTCGCGAAAACTTGCAGTCTCGCCTGCGGGCTTCGGACAACGATCAGGGCGCAGTAAGATTGTCGGCATACTGGAGAAGGACAACGAAGCCGAGCGCATCGGTCGGTCGCTCTCAGGTCTGATGCGGTTCAGCGCCGAAGAGCTCGAAGCTGGCGAGGATGCTTCCGGATATGTTGTCAAGCTCCGCGTATTGGACTTCTTGAACAGCTGTCTAGCTGCCGTGTCCCTCCGGCCCACCATAGCGCACATCCTTCTCGGCTTCTCATGTGGACCCAACACTGTCCGCGTTGCCGAAAACAGTCTCTGGTCAAACGGACAAGCCTTGTTCCACAGCATACTACTTCTTGGGGTTCAGTATCCTGACAATGACGGCGATCAGTTCATAGCGTGGCGGTCTGCTCTTAAGACCCGATGCTGGGATGTCTTGCAGAAGCTCTGGCGGTCGCCGCTGACGAGCGCGCTTGTGATGGAAGAGCTCCGTGACAACGAGCTGCTCTTTGTGGAGGCTCCGCAACTAACTCCCATTACCCTTGATATACCCTGGGACGGAATGTCACTTGCGCAAGGGCTCGAGGTCACGCCTAACGATTACTCTCCATTCTTCTCAGGACCACCAGCACTCGCCCTCCAGAGCTTCCTTCAAAGACGCGCTGCTTTCCTCGACTATGAGTCGAGAGAGCTGCGCTTGACAGTGAAAGAGAGCATGCCGACTATGAAGTCTAGGATCCAATCTGTCCTTCTCGGTACCACGATCCGGCCCGGCGAGGACGCAATGCCAAACCCGAACATCTTCGATCTATTTGACTTCATCGAGCTGACCTATCCTGAGCGCGCTCTGCCAGATCAACACAAGTTTTTCGAAGGTGTCAACCTGACCTCATGTCAAGAAGAAAAAGAGGGTAGCACTCTCTACTCTTTGCCACTCCTGGAACAAGTCATTCGTCTCAAGATGAAGTATTGGCGGAAGGAAGGCATACTGAATGATCAGGAGCAAGAAGAACAACTCGTTGAGCAAGCCGAATTGCTCATGGCTATCTTCATGGACTGGAACCGTCGCACACAACTTCTCCGCTACCACAAGGACATTCTACAGTCGTGGGTCCAAGTCGTCATGGTCGCGGTACACAGCTGCGACTTCGACAACGGCGCGCGCAGCTCGTTTATCATGCAGACGCTACAAGTCATCATACCGAAGCTGGAGCAGTCATACTCCTCCGACATCTTCACGGCTCTCCAGCTCGCCAGCCTAGCAGAGGCTCTCATCCAAAAGGTCGACTTTGAGTCAACTGCATTCGACAAGACAGGAGACTTTGCAAACGACCGCCTCTCTCAGCTCTTCCGCGCGGCACTCATCGGCATATACAGCCCCGTGTCCACCGCCGAACTACGAGAGTACTGCTACCAAATCTGCTTCCGCTACATCCACGGTACCTTCAACAAAGCAACGCCCAACTCCCTCCTCGGCCGTCACACCCTCAGTGCCATCAAAAACTGCGGCACCAACATGCTCGAAGTAATCTGCGACGACGCCTACAGCGGCCAAGGAACCTGCAAAGTCTCCGCGCTCCTCCTCCTCAACGCCTTCGTCTCCGCCGCAACACGCCAATCCTCTAAATACATCCTCGACAGCTTCGTCTCGCTTAATTTCGTCGGCGTCCTCGTCGACAACATCAAGCACATCCCCGAAGAACTCTCCGCCGCTGCCGCACCCCTCGTCCCCGTCCTCCTCTCGTACTACGACGCTAGTCTCGCTCTCCTCCTCCGTGTGTGCCAGTCTCGGCTCGGCGCCGCGCACGTCCTCAACGCCGGTCTCTTCCCCGCCATCCGTGACTCGCAGCTCTTCTCCGTAGACCCGGACATCGGTCTCGAGTTTGACGACTCCAATGCGCTGCGCAAGTACTACGAGCTTATGCTCGCTGTGCTGCGCGTTATTAACGCAGCGGTCATTGCGAGGGGAAGGCAAAACGACCAGACTGTGTTCCAGGCGAGAGAGTTCTTGAAGGATAATAGACATAGTATGGTCAGCATTTTCAAGAGAAGTGTTAATGTGGGTAGTGGGATGGGCGAGGAGCTGCAGCAGGATATTGTCGATTTGGTGGATTGTTGGACGGTTTTGGTGGATGTCACGGGGTTTTTGCAGGTAAGTTGTCGAAATCTTCATAGAAAGGAAAGAGAGAGAATATTGCGCTAACGTCTTTGCAGTATGAGGACCAGTCGAGTGCGAAAAATGTTAGGGTGAATATGTTCTCTTGATGTACATCAGACATGAATGGAGGGATGTGGAAGGAGCGATCTCCTGTGCGCTTGCTGGAATTGCGAAAACATAGTAATAGAAGCATCATTTTGGACTCTTGCCGATTCGTCCCTTTCAAGCCTGTAGTATTGACGTGGGCTTCACCACGACGATGAAGTAGCAAATAAAATAATGTTGAACGTGATGCATTATGACACTGAGCTGCGAGACCGGGTCTGATCTCGGGTCTTAGACGGGAAGCTAGTGATGAGCGTTGCTTGGCATGCTGTCCAGATCGGGAAAGTATCCAAAAGCTGTCGATTGCGGGTGTCTGCATTGTTACCACAGGCCCCCCGTGCGATATCCTAGCCGAAGATACGTTGCACTCACACTTCTTCCACGACTTCTCGTAATGATGGCCGAGGGCTACATCGGACTTGTGCACCTTTTGGACATACTCACTTCCTTGTGTACAGGTTATACTGCACGACGCAGCGCCTGCTGCAAAGGCCACCTCACCGGTGCTTCTGATCGTACCGTGGTTGAGTGACGCTGTGCTCAGACAGCACTCGACATTGCATATGCTACTGGCTCCTTGCCGGCACCGGCATGGAGTGATCGGAGGCTTCGTACTGGATACACCTTTGACGTTCTGCCGGACTTCATCCAAACGCTCTCGACAGACAGCCCGCTCGTACGCTGTAACTTTGATCCCGGCCAACCTCACGACGCCAACAAGCTCCTGGATGAACGTCGGGGGTGGACGCTTCGGGACTGGGAAAAGTCGTGGGACACGCATTCCCCACGCAGGTACCAAACTGAGGCTTCGCTACCTCCATGGCATGAGCAACGATGGCAGTATGTGGTAGTGTGATGGCGATTCGAGCAATCGAACTACGGTGTGGAATCACTATGTGGAGAGAAGCGATCATCGTGCGTTAGTAATCTCTGAGTTCTCAACATTTTCATGTACCTAGCTTTGCGCCATAGTTTCAAAACCCTAGTGTTCAACGGCCTTTCCGAATACAAGATGATTGCGAGAGAAGCTGTTCAGGAACATACTCATAACACGTCGAATATATGTTCCAGCCCATCGGTGTATCCCAGGCCTTCAACCTCCACCGGCACTGAGTGATGACATCGAACACGACAATCGCATCTCAGAGGACTAGTCTCAAGTCAGCATATTAGACATACTCTTCACGAGTAGTGAACTCACAATTTGTCGGCAGGCATCGACATGATCGCTGATATCTTCGGAGTCATATCGCAATCGAGAGTCCTCCGCGATACCGCCAAGATTTCTTCCCATGTTTCTAGGTTGCTCTCCTTGAAGTAACCAGATAAGGTCACCTTGGGAACATTCCTCAGGCGATCGAACGCCAACACGAAGAACAAGTCAACAAACTTCCTCTGACAGGAAGCCGTATTGCGGAGCATATCGTGAACATGGCGCCACGGGTCGTTGATACTGAAAGTCTCGTCGCTGAATGGAGCTTTGGGGATCTGGAAGTCAAAATGCAAGTGGTCAAGGTTTAGGTTGGTGAGGATGTCAAGGGTGACTTCTCTAGACGAAGTGCAAGGCTTGAATCCGCGCTTCCAACTGCTTCGGAAACCTAAGAGACGGAATAGCTGGCTGTTGCTCATGCTCAGTGCTAACCGACTGAGGGTGTTGAAGCCGGTTGTGGACTTCACAGACTGAAGTAGCGGGATAGATGCGCCCATAGTGTGGAGGCGGGTGTAGCGCTTTACGGTGGACTCCCAGAGCATCTTCTGGAACTCGAAGCTGAACTGCCGGCTGACTAGAAGCAGGCTCCTCATCCAATGTGCATTTTTCCTTGACAGCCCATCAGTGTTAAATGCATCAGGTCCCAGCCGATGCGGCTGGCGGCAACCGTACGTGGGTTTTGTGACTTCGTAGGGTATATCAATGCCAATAGTCTTGGGCCAGCCAGCGGTCTCAATAGCAAGACTTGCAAGTCTTCGAGGCTCGTTCTCCAGGAATTCGACGTGAACGCAAGTTTCGGACTTTTCAATATCGCTGACACTCATGAGCGCAGGAAGTTCTTCGTCTTCCGAGTCATAAATGATGGTTTCGTCGTCAACGGTACTACGTTCTCCTTGTGATCTCAGCAGCGCGCAGCACGGCTCGCTGCTGTTGTCGTCGGAATAGCAATTGCGGCATTCAACTTTTGCTCGTGGCCAGATAGCTGGTCCGATCAAAGTCTCGAGCACCGTGAATCGCAGTTCGGTAGGGAGTCTCATAAAGTCGAAAGCCTGCGTCATCAGACTTGTACTCTGAGGATAGGGGTGGCACTAGAACATACTTGGAAAGGTGTGCGCTCTTCAAGACAGCCATCTCTAGTCGAGCAACCTTGAGAAGCATAGCGCTTGTCCCAAGTCTCATCCCATTCTAGGTATATGACGTTGGCCATGCTCCGTCGCTTTTCGTGTTCGCCATCCTGGGGAAGGAGGCATGAGGTACACTGTAGATCTGATGACATGATTGAAAGTAAGAGGAGGGTGAAAGTGGAATATGCAAGACTATACTTGACTTGTATATCTATAGGAAGCAGGAGAGGTTGCAAATGAAAGAGGTAGTAAGAGGAGGCGCCTAACGAGAAGCAACGCCATTCACGGTCGCAATGAATACCGTGCAATTTTAGCAATTCACAACAGTGACACTGGGTAGTATTCGCGCCTGTACTGTCTGCGAAAGGGGAGTCATCGCCTCGAGAAGTATGCCATCTATAGGTCCGCGAGTGAGCTATACCGGATCCGGCAAGGCGGCTTCATTGAGATAGTACTGAGATGGTCAGCTACCGCGCAAAAAGCCACATGCCGTCGCTCGTACCCATCGACTTCCCAACATGTGCAACGAAAAGCGTGAATATCCATCACTGGTTGATGCGCGAGCATTCAACAGGGCTGTGGGAGCTTTCGAAAAACTATGATGTACCGAGGTAAGCCGTTGATAGCTTGTGCGCGATGACGCTAGGTATGGGGTCCTAAAGTTCCCACTGGAACTTCATCTCGTCACCACCCGATCGTGGGTACCTCATTGTTTGTCCGCATCGCATTCGCGCTTGCCCAACACGGTCTTACGAGACAGCAACCTGCTGGACTGGTACGTGGCCACCGAGTCGCAAAAGCTGTTGCATCACCCCGCATAACACCGGCGCTCGATGCAGGGTCGCGAAAGTCTTCTTAGCATCCACAACGCATTTACAATTGATGCAACTTCTCATCCTCGATGATTCAGCCAAGACAAGCAGCTGGGTTGCCCGCTACGGAAGGTGCAGCCCTGCCCAGCCCCAAGGATGATGTCCAACCGCCCAACTCAACTGTACGGCCTGCCATCCTCCGTCTGCCACGCGAGCTGCGGGATCTCATTTATGAACATTACATTCGCATCGGAGGCGGTTACATATACGACTATGCATCGAACAAACTCCGGGAAGCCGATGGTCGCCCCGTCTCTATCGCGCTTACCGCGTCCTGTCGACAAATTGCTTCCGAGCTTCGTGGCCTTCCCTTTAGGTATAACACGATCACATTCTCTACGTATTTCTCGAAGTCAACAAACAAAGATGCGGGCGTCTTTCATAGCACCGTGGAAAGCATCTCGCTCGCGAAAAGAGGGTTGATACGGCATTTAATACCACTTCTGTTTACAGAAGACATGGCACAGGAAGCTAGTCAAGCTTTTCCACAATTTGAACAAATCTTTGACGAGTGGGAGCCTGGAAGAAGCATCGACGCGCTACGCAATTGGGACTTTACTGGCGGTGAAGCCCGTTCCGTGTGGGAAGACTTCAAGCAGCTCATCTTAACTCTACTTTCAAGACATCCTAAGTTCCTCCAAGTATTGGAGACACTTTCTGATCTTCACACAAGGCGTAAAGGATGTAAGGTACCCGGGTTAAGAAATGCTTGCCTAGAACCGTGGTCAATTCCTGATATCGTCGAAATGGAACGACTCGCGGACATCGTGAATGTTGAGCCTGAGCGGCCGGATTATTGGTCCAGTACCCGTTACTGCTTTTCTGCAGTACATGCAGCTCTCCGCTTCCTACAATCGATTCCTGCAACGACCTGCGAAATGATACGCAAAGTCATTCTACTTGAGGACCGTCCATCTGTGGCGTATCCACAGTGTCATGGACGAGGCCTGATTCCCTTTTGCCAGACACACAAGGAACTCTGCTTTGAGCGTGTCGTCGACCTGTGGAGAAACGCATTTCCCGTGTCTACCAGAGCAATGTACGACTATATCAGAAAAAGTCAAAATGGCGACGATGCGAACACTATGAGCGAAGATCGTTTGATCTCTGCGACAATTAGTGATGCCATAGGTTCTTGGATGACGGAAGCGCAAGCGCTGCAAGATCTTGGAATGCCGGAGGGGTCGCATACCCTCGTATTCAACGGCGCACCTAATCAAGAACAAGCTTCGCGTGCCTTTCAAGTGGTACAAAGAGATGCTGCCTGGCAAGTAGCCCTAGATGTTGCTTACACAAAAGGCACGCTTCCTCATCACACGTGGTCAGAGCGGCGGCTCAAAACCGGGTACATCACGGAGTGCTTTCCAGACGTCGTCGCAAACCTTTCAAAAAAGGATGCGCCTATTCGATGCAACTTCAGCCTTGGTACCCCGTACAGCGCCAAGAAGCTGGGCCAAGATCATCGCGGATGGGATGATAATGATTGGGTGTCTCGTTGGAACTCTTATGAGCAGGCCAAATTCCAGACAGAGCCGCCACTCCCTCCTTGGCATATCCTGCGATGGGGCTATGTCCTTACAAGATGAAATGTCGCCATACATCTTAGGCGCTCACATCTCTTGGACTTCGTAAGCGTTGCGCAGGTCTCAGACCCCACTAGATGGAAGTTTGCATCGCGTGGGCACCGTGGCAGTGCAACCACTGCTGGGCGTCTTTCAAACCCCGGACTAGCATGTCCAGGGACTGTGGCGTTGTATTTGATCCCCATAGCAAGTTACGGGAGCGGATGTCTTCTCCCAGGGTTTCTTTGATCTATATGCTAACGATTTGCGGTTATCGCATCTCGATCTCACGCTCAGCATGCTAAGTCATGGTGCATCCAATGTACTCACATCATTTCGGCGAATAAATATCAAAGAGACCAATACATGAGCCCCAAAGAACAAGCAGAATTTCCATGTTCATGCACGCCCGCCTGGATGGTCGACGCCATACAACTAGTGGCGTTAACTTGGTTGAGTCCGCCACATCGGCGAACCGGCGGCACCAATATCCGCAACGACGATGGCTTCCATGATGTTCGGGGGCACAGCGCGGAATCAGAGATGTGTTGAAACGAATGATGGGAAATACAAGAAAGCCCGTAGGGTACCGAAAAGACGCTAGCATTGGGTTCTCGGCTGTTAGTACACCGTACCAGATTTGAGACATTAGCCAACAGCCAGCTACAGTTGCATTACCATTGCGGTATAATTGAGTGGAGAACTGATATTGCGACTGTGGTCTTCGGGTTTTTACAATCATGTAGTTCAATCATATTTCTGAATTCCAATATATTAATGCGTGACTATGTGTACAAGAATGCGCGTTTCCATAAGTTGTGTCTGACTGAAAGCCAATACAGAGGCCTACAGTGGATGATGAGCGAAAACGTGACGTCGACAACAGCGGATGCAGTAGGGGGATGTTCGCATACGGCGCGCAGCCCATGCATGATCCAAGTTTTGGCCAGGCAGAAGGTGTGGTTGCGGCTTGACTTTGAGCACGTTGGTGGACTAGCAAAAATTGATGTCGCTACCGTTCCTCATTCAGAACGTTGTCGTATCGGAGTTCATGCCATGGAGGCAACGGAGCTTGAGTTGGAACCTCGGTGTTCAGCAATTCCCACGTTATACCCCAACGCTCGAAAGACCACCCGCGATGATCCTCAACAAGGGTCTCGGGATCCTGCGACGAACCAGGATCAAAATTACACCGAATGAGTTGGGAAGTCCTTGATATCTTCCCTACGATCTCGGCGAGATCTTGATAGCGGTAGATGCCATACGTGCGCCGTGTAATCCATGATGGCGTAGGAAGATAGCCGCGGGCGTATGCATGATCTAGCGCTTGGTGCCAAGCCACGTCTCGGTGGACGGTCTGGAAAACACTGGAAGTGTACTCTGGTGTAGGTCCGCCGTCAAGAACAAGCCTGTAGGAGCCTTCTGGCATCCCTAGCGAAGGGAGTATGGAAGCTTCTGTCAACCATTCGCCAACGTCTTGAGTGATGTCGTTTGATAAAAGCTGGTGCTCATGTTCGGCGACGGAAGCACTCCCTAGTCCTTTATAGATACTACGAATCCACGAAATCCGGGAGGTTCCTACACTGAAAACACATTTCCACAGATCGGCAAAGCGACAGACACGGAGTTTGGGGTTTTCTTGGCATAGTGCGATGAAGCCTCGTCCGTGGCAGGCTGGGAATGACACCGATTCGCGGTCTTCTTTCAATATAATGTTACGAACAAATTGCCGAGTCTTCTGAGGGAGGGAGTTCAGAAAACGTAGTGCTAGGGCAGCGGCAGAATACCCATATCTCATATGCGGATAATAGTAGGGATTGGTCGGCTTGAATCTGTTGATCGGTGCAAGCTTCTTCAGCTCAGTGTCATTGAAAATTTTCCATGGATCCGGGTGATGTCTACTTAACTCCAATGCTCGACCTATGCTGAACTTGTACCCCTGGAAACACCATATTTCCAGTGTGTCGTCTCGGTCGTCTTCTTTTTGGGTCTTAGAAGCGAAGTCGGGGTGTTCTGTCAACCGAACATAGACGTAATGGATGAAATCGTGCCAAATTGAGGGTGCTTCACCACAGCTAAACCGAATTCCGGCTGGCGCTGTGTGCGCATCATCTTCGCCCGACATCCACCCATCGACAATAGGAGCAAACTGAGGAAACGCCATCGCGATGGTCTGCGCCATCTCAGGAGTAAGCAGCTGCGATATCATGCTACTGACCAAAGACTTTTTTTCGGAAATAGTCTTGTGGACGATGCATTTGTGGATTGCTGCACTCCTTCGGCTAGCTGCTGAGAAAGCGGAGGTGAAGGTAATGGCGTTGAGCTTTAGGGGAAGAGCTTCAAACTCAGATCTAATTTGACGATTCACGAAAGCCAACGAGAGCGATATAGGTGAGCCGTTGGCTTGCTTAAGGCTATCCGTGTCGGGGTCGTAGATGTAACCACCATCCGCGCTGACGCAGTATTCGTATATGTTGTCGCGTAACTCTCGCGGCAGGCGGAGAAGGGCAGGCGGAGAGTTGGTGTCTGGAATAATCGTCGTCGTCGCCGAGCGGCTGGTGCAAACACGTTTGGCTTTTGGCTGCTGCTCCATTGTCGTACTCGATTGAGGGAGTCGGAGGAGAGCGCGACGCGTTGGTTCAAACACCCTGGCGGCTCGATCTCCCGTAGATGAAGGCCTCGCGCCCACTAGCCCTGATTGGGCAACGCGTGTCGCGGCGCCAGACTTCACCGAGGCCGTGGGCTTAGAGAATACAACAAACATCATCATACGACGCGCCCTGCAGTGTCAGCTCCCCTGCTGCCTGCGCAAAGAAATGTATACAAATCGAGTCACTTCTCACCGCCGGCATTGTCGTCACGACGCATGTAGCGAGTTGGACCACCAACCACGAACCGCGCTTTCGGCATCTACGAAGAAGCTCGTTTCTCCCGGGCCGTACCCGGCGCGCCAAAGCTACTTTGTATACTGCACTCTCTTCTACAGCTTCTCCTAAGCGCGTAGTTCAGTGTCACTATGAGCATGAGTTGAAAGAAAACGAGCTCCTTTGTACTTTGCAGCCCCAACGAATGAGCTGACAAGGACATGTCTGCACACAGCTACGATTGATAACAACAACTTAGTAGATATAGGCATACAAATCGTCTCTCAAGTACGAGCCAGTTCACCGCCGACCGCGCAGCAACTTTCATCGCACCTCCGTATCGTCCTCCTTACCTAGATCGATCGTATACCCACCCACCTCTCAAGAACGAATACCTACTGCAGTAGGACGGCCCTTCATTGTGGGTACTCGGTGCACGCCACCGGCGTCGTTGATTTGCTTCACCGTCGCGGGGGAGGATGAAACACGCATCAGAAGCAGGGACAATTTGCGTAGCAGGGAAGATCGCGGCTGCGACGTTGTGCTGTGAAGACATGGCCTTCTACCTACCGTGCGGCTTTTGGGCGTTGCCCTCAAGGCCAGTATAGGTAGGTGTATCCGGTATTGCTGTAAACATCTTCTCGGCAAAATGTCTACCTCGTACTGGCACGCTTCGCATGGCCGACAATACGCAGCAGCAATAGTCGGAGTCGATACAATCAGTCACACTGTGCAGGTGGTCTCTCGGACACAGCGTCTACGCTAGCATTGCTGGGTGTCGCACAGGTACAAAAATACTCTACCGAAGGGTTGTAGCTTCATGGTACGGTACATAGCTATTAGTGTAGCAATAACAGCACTTACCTGTCGCTCGTAGCTAGAAGGCCAATCTAATCAAGGCGTTAAGGATCTTCAACCGCATTTTAATGGGAAATATTGTGTATTTGAAAGCTTCCGTCAAGAGGAAACACATGCTTAACAACGTTAGATAGTCATTATAGAATCATAAGTAGCACTAGTATAATCTTATGTGATCATAGGGTATTCGAGACGGTCATGAACCTAGGTAGGCCATTCACCACGTTGATGATGTAATGGTTCGTGTGTCGCTGAAGCATGAAGGTGGACAATTTCGCGGTGCAGATGGATTAGGCGGTGAGAAGATGTACTTACGCTGATAGCAGTCGTGCTGTACGTTCAGGTCAAGCATGCAAAGGCTGTAAATGTATGCTACATCTTGTGTATTCGTGCCGCGTCTACTCAGATACGTGCCAGTGATGCGCCAAAACCAGAGAATCGGTCCGATGCTGAGATTGCGACAGAAGGGTTAGCGCAGGGTGCCCTGGGGATTTTCTCAGGGGCGGCTTACCGAGGCTCCCAATGCCTGGTGGAGCGAATATGGAACGCTGAAGAGCCGTGAACCTGCGAGCTTTCGCATTGCGCGATGAGCATACCAAGCGCCAGTGTTGAGATTCTCCAGACGTCGCTGAATATGAATCTCCCGGTCTGACCTCGGGAGTCAACGGCGTACTATATTCTTCGTTGAGACACAGCCCTGGAGTACACGGGTGTCTAGGTAGGCAAGAATCCGAAGGTCGAACGGCACGCGTCGCGCATGCACTCCCACCTCATTACCGCCTGCCCAAGTGGGCACGTCTTTGGCATCGTGTCCATACAGCCTCGATCACCACATCACAAGTCCCCGGGTAACAGTCTCTGGTTTCAGGTCCTTCGGTGTTAAGAAATTGCTCGGCTTTGAGGCGAAGTGGGTGTAAAAGAGACCCCTTAGACAGATTGTAGTTCTCATATAACTGCAGTATGAAGTCTAGACGCGTTGCAAAGCTCGGAGCATGTTTAGGTAGCATATGTGGATTCAGCGCGCTGCCCCTGGCAACTAGCCTCCATCTCATGTTTGCGATTTCGTTTTCTCTTGCAAGAACGTAAGCCACTCTCAACTCCTCCCTCGTCAAGAAACCCCCATCGGATGCGGACCATGTTATTCCAAGCAAACGTCCAGCCCGAGAGTACGCCCCTTCCACTCCCGAGTACACCCCGATCTCTCGCGAGTACGCCTCAATCTTCGGACTATGGAAAACCTGATTGGCATGATTCGTGGAAAGACCGCGAAGCCTCTCCTTGCCCACCCCCTCGGTACTATGATATGGACATCATAGACAGTATCGAAGGCGAGGTCATCTGCTATCAAGGAGATTGGCGTACTCGGAGTAGCCGCTCCCCCGGTACTCCTCCTTCCATAGGGCGTGATTCGTGGAAAGACCCTGAAGCCCCCTCTCCTTCGTTGACAGACGACTACTATACCCTACCTCGCCCACGCGCTCAGTCCTATGATAGTGTCATCATAGGCGAGATCGAAGACGAGATCGACTACTATCGAGACTTTTGGCGTAATCGGGGTAGCTACTGTCCCTCTCCTTCTCCTTCCGTAGGCCCTGATCCCTATGACATGAATAACATAGACGAGATCGAAGACGAGGTCATGGACAACTCTTTGCCTTCGCGACCTCTGTATCCATACGAGGAGGTCCCGGAAGAGAAACCAATGGGTCTCGCCTGGACAGTTGATTACGACTCAGACTTCTTTCCTGATGATCAAGATAGTGGGGACGATGTCTATGTCTCGCAGTCCTTGTCCCTATCAGCACAAACATCAGACGAGATGCCCCCTTCTGGCACGCAACCCTGCACATCATCCAAATCCGACTCCGACTCCGACTCCTCTCCCAATGAGATAGGCATGATAGACGATATCATCACCACGCAGCCTCTAGTAGTATCAGCACAAATACCAGACGAGATCCTTCCTCATATCACGCATCCCATCAAGACGGCGCTCATCGAGGAGTTCCGCAATCGAACCATGGATGGAATACTTCGTTCGCTCAGCGGCTCTGTCTGTGATCTGATCTTGTCCAACAATCTTGATCAGAACGACGTACTTCGAATTTACCGCGGCCCGAAATCGATTGAGGTACGTACACTATTGCAGTTACGGGAACGAGCCACTGACCCCTCGCAGCAGCCTCATCTGGTTCTTCTGCGCTCTCTTATAGATGACGAATGCAGACGAAGCCCAACTATGGCTGCGAGTCTGACTAACCTCATCATCCTGCCCACCGACCACAACTTCGCTCTATGGGACTGCTGGGTGATGTGTTACAGGTTCTACCTTCCAGTCTTGAGGAAGAAGCTTGTTTTACTTGTGCGGCCGGGCCCAATACATGACAAATCTGAACTTGAAGTTATTGATACGAAAGATCGTTTTGGAGTACGGAATCCGCCTCCGAGCTGGCAAAGTGCTCGGTACTGGCTAAGAGACCGTTTTGGTCAATACACCCTCCGACACTTTCAACTGGAGACGTTTCGGAAGCAAAGCAACATGCGTTTTTCACTGATGAACCTGCCCACCGAGCTGAGATGCAGGATTTTCCAATATGTAATCGGAGGGCAGATCTGGCCCCACCTTCACACCTGCTGTTGTCGGAAGGACATGAAAAGCGATCATTGCGACGAGCGGAATATAAGGAATCCCCATCGACCTGGTGGTCCTTTCTACCGTTACTATGATGTCTCTCACCCTGCCATAGAATCATATAGGAGCTTGGGTCCTACGATTCCGTTCCATGCGCCTTACGCAAATGGCCGTCCCGAGCGCCATCTGTATACGAGGGAAAGATTGATGAGGCCTTCTTATGGCTTTGGATACCATGATTATGATTTCGAGAAGGAAAAAGACCCCATGGCTTTCAGCGCCCCGGAAGACACCCATGTTGGTCTCGGCCCGACCCTGGAAGAACAGACATCGATAATGAACATGCTGCTTGTTAGCAAAGAACTTCGGCATGAGTTCCAGGACTCTTTGTGGGGAGGAAGTTGGTATCGGTTCAACAAGCCTCATGTTTTTGATCAGACGGTCCACAGCCTCACGCTGTACTGTCTTCCATATACAAAGCCGGATGGGACGTTGTCGAACTTTAACCCAAAGATACTTAGCAAGGTCTGGTTGAGTATGACCAACATCGACTATCTCGACTTTGTTGGCTTTGCGTACGAGGACGGTAGATTTCGATTAACGAACAAACGATACCTCGGCCAGTCGCATGCACGTGGGTTGGATCTGCTATCCAAAATAGCTACATTGAAGCACTTGCATCTCGAATTCATGGTTCTGACCCCTGTAGTAGGGGTCAACCAGGATCCTTTCGTCGGGCAAGCACGTGTCGAAGGGCGGCACCAGGACGGTCAACTAGTCTCGTGCCAACAGAAGTTTGTTGATATGGTGCTGACTTTGGGCTATGAGGTCTTCCAGACTTTTGCCGAAGTTACCATCTCAGGCCATGTCAAAAAGTCTAACCACGACACATGGGATTTGCGCCTGGGCAAAGGAACGAGGGAGATGCTCAACTTAGACGACAAAGTCGCCGAATACCTCGCCCTACGTCCCGATGAGCTGTAAGTGTCACATGTTCAGCCTCTGGTTACCTCTATCTTCATGCTAACTTACATTAGTCCGCTCAAATGCGAATGCTTCCCACGATGCGAATGGTGGAATACCGGATTGCCCTGGAACGGAGACAGGCATTACTTCTACGAGGGCGACGACGAGTGCCATGTGGACCCTGTCCTATGCCGGGAGTTCTCCTGTGAGGACAACCAGAGCTCGGACGTGTAATTACATTGCATCATCTCGCATTCACTCCACATAGCTTGCCTTCCTTCCGTATCTCTCAAACTTCTATTTATCGTCGCAACAGCCGAGAGAGTACGTGAAAATGGAGGATGGAACGAACAACGGATGGCGTTTGAAGATGGTGAAGGAGCGGTACGGATGATGAATGCTCAGCACCAGGCGTAATGTACCATTCCATGCTCTACTCGTTGGAGCAGACTTTTCGTGAGATCAGCGTGCATTCTGATACCAAGAGCAGATGCTTGAAGAGACTGAATGCATTAGGATTGACTTTTCCTGGTAGATGCTTGTGTTATAGTAGATCGTATATATTTATCTCAATGGCTAAATGCGTGACTGCAGAAAGGTGACTACTTGAAATTCGACCCTGTGATTGCAGCACTTCCTTCCATTGTATCCACTTACTTTTCAGTTCCTGCCTCCATTGGCATCGTGCTTGTGTATGGGCCAGGATTCACGTTCCTAATACTCACGTTCCTGATACTCCCAGCCGAGCACATATTGCCACCGAAGCTCATACTGTCAGGGTGACAAAGGGTTGACTCCAGAACTGGCTCTGGCATGGGCCAGGGCGGCCAAAGATGTGCTGAAGAAGCGGATCATGTCCAGATAGCTAGCCCTCCTACAGCGTTATTGAGCCGTTTGTAGTGGTATGCCGCGTGCAGATGGCGGTCTAACCCATCAAGCGCGGGCAGAGAGCTGCGGGTATAATCGAGACGCTCCAGCCCAGCCTGCTAGGCTGCGCCTTCCTGAACTTTCTAAAGCATTGTAGACTTCTACTCCGCTGTTGAATCTCCGTTGACAATGAATGTGTATAACCATTTAGCCATGTCCCTAGGGAGGGTGAGACGGAAGCTTCGAGCGACCTTTGCCCGATGGCTGAAGTGATGAATCGCGGGTAGAGCGGGTCGCAGGGATCACGTTCAAGGGATATAGTCGCGTTCGAAGGGAGGATGGTAGCACGTTGGAGGTCTCGGTGTCGTAGTATCGTCGAGCGCGGGCAAGGCATTCAAGCGAGCTGGTATGCATGTCGACTGGAAAGGAGGGCGTCGGTCTCGCGCGGCCGTCTTCGAGGCCGCGATGATGATCTAGGTATTCATGCCACATTAGCAAGGCACTAATACCAAGGGAGAGTCGGATGAGGATGACCAGCAACGTACCCAGCCAAAGTCACATGCGAACCGACGCACCTGGGCGGGCATCTGGGTCGAGCGCGAAGTACCAAAGTCAGAACCGGGAGGAGCCGCACATCGGCCGTGTTAGCCTTGTCTGGTAAGTCCCGCCAACCCATATGTTGCATCGTAGGAATATGCGAGACGCTGCTGTTTGTGGTTGGATTGGAGGATTCGATCGCGGTCGTTACTGCCAGAGCTATGACCGGACATATGATCATAATGGTGGCCATCTAGCGAAGCTGAAGAAACCTGTGACCGCATTGAGCTGCTGGGAGAACCAGCGCAAGATTGCAGAACCTATCAAATTTTGATTGCGTTAATCTTCTATCGCCAGCGTAAAAGAATACATTCAGCAGCACGCGGATAGGCAATACGGCGGGCGACAGAGCAACATAGCGGACTGTGATGATGGACCCTGGGAATGTGGCTAGTAAACTACCGTGTGGCTAGTGTGCCGAGGTCTGTATCTCCAAACTTCGCCGGCTGCAAGAGTGATGCTGGCCGTATCTAAGCACCATCACCCTTTACCCGCCAACGTCCAGATTCTTTGTCAAGTCTTGGAGCGCTCTTACCACTTCATCCTCCGGTCTACGGATCGGCCTCCGGCTCCCGCACAAGTACAAACGCCTGCTCCTACCGCCGACCGCCGACCGCACCGTGTCCGTCCTCGCAGCTCTTGCCCCCTTCGTCGCGTACATCAACTTCGTACCCACCCGTGTCGCAAAGACGGACCGCGCCCGCAGCGGCAACCGTCCAGTTTATACAGTCGTTGTCGTCCTGACGTATGTGTCATCGGCACGCGACACGATGGCGATGAACGAGGCACGAGAGGGTAGCTGAGGATACTAGAGACCAGAAAGTTGTCGCAGTGACAGCGCGCCAAGGATATCAAGCCTGTGTCTGGTTGTCGTTGCGTCGGCTTTCCTCTCGTATTGGGCGCATGCCAAAGTTGCATCGCTTGCCATGCGACCGTCTGGACTCGGGTTTGAGCCTACATACGTACAGGCTTCCGCCGACCGTTATACATACAACGGCTACTGTGACGGTGTCACTAGCTCCAATGTCTTAGCAGGAAGACGAGATGCACAGGCGGCATCGCTGTAACAGTATGTCCATGCTTTATCCACCATCATGTTGCAGTCGCTGATCGTCACGATAGAACTTCTTCAACCTCACGGCTGTCTCGCCATCCCAGCGGTTCCCCGCCCGCCACGTATCCCCTCTCCATCGTCTCGTTTATCGGTCCATGCAATCGTATCCCATCACCGAGACTGTGCCCCACTACACGTTCGCATCGCCCCACAACGAGTGCTGAGAGCTTTCATACATCGCTCTTTCTTAATAGCGCGCTTCTTTGGTTAGACATGTCTGTAAACTCGCAGAGTTTGGCTTAGAGGCTGGGCACAATGAAGCTCGTGAAAGTGTGAGCGGCACGAGTGAGCTTGATACTTTCCATGATGATCTGCATGGGATATTGGAGCAATGGCGCTGTAGAAGCTGACATCGAGCATACTGCACTACAGGTGCTGCGCAGCATATGAGTACAGGGTGCGGATGCTGTGGTTGTATAACGAAAGGATAGCGATGCATACGCACGGGTCTCAAGTGAATTGTCACGTTTCTCACCTAATGATTCACATGAAGGTATGGTGTGCTAGCTAGACAACATCAACGAAGTCGCACTGACGGCCCGCAGACTCATCGTAAGGTGAGCATGATTTTGCAAGCCCTTTTCAGATTGCCGGCATCCGTGGGTTTGTTGGGCATCAGACTGCCCGCGAGAAACTGTGGCCTTCCCCGAACTGTGCATGGAAACTAGCTACCTCTGCCATCCTCTTTTGGTCCAACCAGAGAGCCGCGCATCGGCCCTTCATGACAGCGCCTTCTTAGTCGGAAACTCGAAGGCGCGCATCATCCAGTCGCTGGAGTACGCGCTATCATAGTGAGCTCATCGGAAGGAACAACTTGAGTCGAGATCGTAGTCATGCTGAACCGAGGACTTCATTGAGCGGCCCTTCAGGACATTGAAAGGCCCTCCAGGTCTCGCTGTAAGCAGAATCTTCCAATGAGACATCACGCCAAGTATGCCGTACAGCTTTCTGCAGCATCATGTGGGATTGTGTCTTGTTGTCGAGCTCTTCACCGCTCTTCTACTACGTTCTCGACCCTCGCGAACAACTGAAGCTTTGCCTAAACCCTCTAGTACGCGAAGCTATTGCAATGAGAAGACACGTACGGCGTCTCTTGCATGCACCTAGGGCCGATAGTCGGATGTGTGGCCCCCATTGCGTAGCAGACTGGCACTTTCCAACGCCTCGCAAGTCAGGCATGGCTAACGACCCATGCTGCGGCGAAGACAGGTCACTCTTCGGCACGTAAACAGGCGTGAGGGAAAAAGGCTGCCTTTGCTTTCTGATTTAGTCATGTAACATTGTATGAGGGTACACCTGTACATATTCGTTCCGCATATCGCCACAGCCGCATCACGTTACTGTAATTTGGCCGCCCAGCGTGGAGATTTAAAATGATCGTGCTGGCGTTTACCAACACCGCTGCATCGAAGCGAGCATGATAACCGGGGTCGGCCACTGGGCAAAGCTTGATCGGGATGAACCGCGGCAGGGTCTGCACCATTCCGTTGCTCAGCCCCCACGTGATTCCCGAGGTCTAAATATACGCGCCGGAAAGGCCGATGCGTGTTATGACTCTGTTTGGTGAAAGTGACTTACGCACATACTCGATGCGTGGAAGCTGCTAGCCGTTGTTCAGCATGGCCGCCGTCATACCCTTCAGCCTTCTGAGAAGACGGCAAGATAGCGTCGAGAAGCGCCGTGGCCTCACGAAAGAGAGTGCTTCAAAGTAGGCAGCATAGACTTTGAACTAGTTCAATTGCTCCCCATGACACCTCCCGAGGTCTCTCTCTCTCTCTCTCTGCTTGTTGCCTCGCTAAAACTTCTGGCTCGGGGCGGTTAGGTATATCCTTTGATACCACGCGTGATCACGCTAGATACGCAATGCACGAGCCTATGAAGTGTACCATTACCTTGGTATGGGACTGGCAAGACTTTGACAACCCAAGCTGCTTGTTAGTCGTCTCTTGTTGATCAGGCAAAACAACCTGCAGTATCATCTCATCAGTATCATCACTCAGGTGCTCACTTGGAGAGTAGCATAAGAGATAGGAAGATGAATATTGTGCTATAAATACGCTAGGTGGGCTTTGCCGAGACATGAATAATGCTGTGTATACTATCGGTATCAGAAAACATACTGATGGCATCAGAAAATGTACTAACGGCGTCATCGTCGATGCCGTTAAATATAGATGAACTGAGTGTATCAAGTGAACTGGACCTTACAGAACGATCAATGTCTCCCTCAAGTTCAGTATTGTTGTGGTCCATTTGCTCTTCCTCTTCCCTTGTCAGTGTCGCCGCTCTTGTTGGTGTCATATCCCTTGTTGGTGTCATATCCCTTGTTGGTGTCGTATCCCTTGTTGGTGTCATATCCCTTGTTGGTGTCTCTTCTACCATTACTGCCTCTCGTGCATTGGTAGTGGCGCTTGGTACACGTACTCGGTCACCATGGCGTCCCCGCATGGGTGAGACCGCCCTGGACGGACCTGTGCGTGCAGCGGACGAGGTTTGGGTGGGTAAAACTGGGTAGATATTTAAATCACCCCTCTTCTTCGAAGGCGAGCGGGGTGTGAAGTCATCAGACTTGGGTCGCGCCCTCTTCGAAGGGCTCGCGCTCCTTGAACGTATGTCCATTACGTTCGATGAGCCAGGATTCGAAAGCCCAAACTTGGGGGCCGACGTGAAGACATTGGATGGAGCGAGAGGGGCTTCGTTGTTGCTGTGCAGTGTCGGTCCGTGTGAATTAGAGACGGAGACGGCTTGTACCATTGGCTCTGTAGCGGAGACTGGAACCGATGGTGATGTAGGGGCCAAACTTTGCTCGTTAGGTGTCATTGCCGTGGAATGAAGAAACGCGGCTGAGCCATCATCATCATCTTGCATCTCGGCCTCTGTACCTGTGTCGAGAGAAGTGGGTTCTGCTGGGTCTGCAGCCCCCTCAGAACCCGGTGGCACCGATGATGAATCCTGTCCGCCGGGTCCTTTCACCCAAGCGTCAAGTAACGCTTGCTTGGTCTTACGAGACGTCGCTGATCCTTGGGAAGAAGCGCGGGACGGGGCCTTTGTTCCTGGAATAGACCCCTCTTTTTGTTTGCCCGGCGTGTCGGTCGGTCGTTTCTCAGACGGTTCAGGCGGCGCTCCGCGACTAGGGAGTGACATATCACCACCATTACCGTCGTCGTACAAACTGTCGTTAGGGCTCACAGTCTTCGATTTGTCGTTGAACTTGACAAGTACGTCCATAAGTTTTCTCATCTCAACCACAGACGGCAACTCCAGGCCTTGGGCCCACGTTGGTCCGACTTTCCGCAGATCTGCGCACCGCTGGTGATAGTCCTGCAGTGCTTTGTCTGGGCAGTTAGGGTCGGTGCATGCGTGACCCCGGGCGTCAGGATTAGGGTTGTCCAAAGGCCAGCCTCGATTACAGGTGATGCAGAGCTTGTTATTTGGACAGCCCTTTTCCCCTGGCTTTCTGTGCTTTTGGCCGCAGTTGAGACATGGCCAAAGTTCATTCGCCATGGCTTCCTCGCAATTCGGGCAATGAGTAGCAACATGCCCATGCCTGGTACATTTTCTGCATGTAACTGGAATGGCCTTCTGGTCAATGGGTCTGTCTACCATTAGCAAAGCGATATTGTAGGATTACCGGATGCGACCCACTTTCCAATTGCAACAGTACCCTCGAAATATAGGGGACTTTTGCAGGCTTTGAAGGCCTCGGCGACGGTTGCGAAGCCCCAGAGAAGATAAGTTCCATTGGAGAATTTGAGCTTGTCGATCTTAAGACCATCGTTCTCTTCGCTCCATTTTGCCTTGTAAAATTTCTCCTCCTCGGCAGTATAGTTGTTCAAAACTGTCTTGTCTGGAAGAGTCCAACCAGTTAAAGAAACCCAGTGTGTTCGCTCCACGGACCTACAATCGAAGCTTAGAGGTTTTTTCGGTGTGCCTAACGCCCTCCGCAATGGCTCGTAGTTATTCTTATTGATGAAATCATCGTGTGCCGTCCAAGAATCCAGGGTGAGCACGAGCTCACGCTTGCCGGGGTTTCTGTCGTTCACATGGCTAGCTCGGATGTGGTAGTAAGCTCCCTTTTGCGCTCTCAAACTATTTACGACTTGGTGAGACGGCATGTTCTTCACTCTTAGATAGTCCAGTTCATTCTTGAGAGAGACATAGATCCTAGGGCTGATGGAATCCACGGTGCGGCTGCCGTCGTCATTTGTGGGGTTTCCTAGGGCGTCGACAATATTGCTCAAGCGGTTTATGTTGTTGTGGAACTTGATCCACGACTGCTTTTGCTCGCTGATGGAAACAGCATGACTTTTCAGCTGTGCGAAAAGGCGTTCCTGTTGTAGCGCGACTTGATCGAGCTGCTCTTTTATCTCATCGTTCCGCTCTTTCATCACATCGTCCAATCGCCGGAGGAGGGTGTCCATTGGATCAGGTGGTTGTTGGCCGGGCGGGCTACCGGGTTGCAGATACTGTTGCGGGAAGAACCCGCCATTGATCGGATTGCTTGCCCCAAAGTGCGGTTGCTGGCCCCAAGTAGGGTGGTGTTCGTTGTAGCCGGGTTGATAGGCGGGTGAATAGGCAAACGAAGGTGGCGCCGTAGCTGAAAATTGACCGTATGGACCAGCCGCCGAGACAAATGGACTCGACGCTGGATGACCGAAAGTTTGAAATGGCTGAGCCATGTTGGGCTGGTGAAAGATTGAGTAGCAAAGATGCAATTGATGAGTGTAGCAACAAGCTATGGCGATGGTAAAGTCCACACCCCACACTTTGGAAGTTGCGCAAGGACAAATAGGCGGCAGGTGAGCTAAGGATAGGTATGGATTCCTGAGGGCCGCTCAGACCACCTTGTCGGCTAACATGTCAATCTCTTCCGCAGGTGCTCCACTTCTCACACGCCGGTGGTGGAATAGCGCCTCGGCATTGCGAAATGGCGGTATACGCCGTGGCCGTTGGGCTGCTACTTTGTACTGGCACCCCGCCGCACGCGATTTTGGATAGGCGACACCCTCAAACGACGATTCCGATGCCGTAGGAGGCGCCTCGTTCAAAACGTCACACCTCTGGCCCAGGTGTTCCCATGCTGGATAGCGGCAGCGGGTCGCTATCCTCAACGACCTCTTCATGGCATCGTCCACAAGACAGAGCAAGCCGTCGGATACACATCAAATCCCAAGCAATCAAATCCCAAGCAACAAGGTAAGGACTGGCCGATTTGTTCATCAGCAGTAGACTAATAGGTTACCATAGACATTCGTTAAGGCATGGTTACACCCCGCCTTCATGGTCTCGTCTACTAACTCAAGCAGTCGTTCGACTTGGACGCGAATTTCGAACTGCTTCCAGCCGACGAAGCAGACGCATTAGACCATATTGACGAGGAGGCAATTCACATCGACGTCTTCAATGACAATGAATGCATTATCTGGGCCGTCAACGCCAAAATGGCCTCGTTGCGCATGGTCTCGCTCCTCGCGCACATCAACGCGCTTCCCCGCCCACCCGACGTCATCGCGATCCAAGACCCCCCACCGAAGATGGCGTTCACAATATATCCACCATACAAGACCTGGCTCCACGCAGAAGATAGCGACGACGGAAAGGTACAAGAGATGACCAAGGAGGACAACCCGGCCTACTTCCCCTACAGACCCCCACAACCGAAGAAGGCAGAGAAAGAAGCTATAGCCAAGTGGGCGGAAGACAAACGGTCTGGATTGTCGCGTTTGAAGAAGCTAGCCAAGGTTGCGTTCTTGATCCATGGCTCTATCCAACAATGGCACGTCACCGAACCCGACCCCAATGAACCTAATCGCGGCATAGTTGCTACGTTACATCTCGAGACCAGCGAAGGTTCCCTCGCAATTCACAACGTTTACAACAACTTGCAGAACCTGGCTATCGACCCTCTCATGGCACTTTGTTGCGACGAATTCGAAGCGCATGTATGCGTAGGCGACTTCAATCTACATCATCCATTATGGGGCGGTGACAGCGTGACGGCTGACTCAAAGGCTGAGCAGCTTGTCACCGCAATGGCGTCACTGCAGGTTCCTTTACTTTGCATGAACACCAAAGGCGTCAATACTTATGCTAGTGGTCTACGCCAGGATTTTCAGGCAGGTGATGGGCAGGCGGGTGGGCAGGCGGTTAGCGGGGAGACCGCAATTGACCTTGTGCTGATCGGGGAGGTACTCGAGGGCCAGGTGCGCTACCAACTTTTCCCCCCACGGGCGATTCGTGGATTCGAGTCGGACCATGCTATCTCCGAATTGGCTGTCAACATGAACATGGTACGAAGGACCGGGATCCGCCACGACTGGAACGGAACCGACAAGGAAGCATACATCAAACGTGTCAAAGAGGGCTTGAAGGACATCGAACTTCCAGAACATCGCGACGAGGCCAACGTAGGTGCTGTACTGTCTAAACTTCTACAGCGGGCCATCATACCAGCTGTGAACGAAGCAGTCCCCACTATCATGGTCTACGAACCTAAGGAGAAAGAGCCATCTCCTATACCTACCACCCCCACCCAAAAGACCCGATCTTGGCGTCGTGCCGTAAAAAGAATGATCAAGCGCGCCAAAACCGTTCATCACGTCGCCAAGAAGGCCTGTAAGTGGGGTCTGCCTAGGCAGATGGACTTCACTCCGGACTTCGACGTCGGAACTGGCCCCATCAAGTCCAATCCCGATAAAGTGAAATGCTATGTCACCTCGACTTGGACTCACACAAGACACAAAGGCCCACCTAGAGCTACACAATCTGGGGTCGCTACTCCAGGCAACTCGGTACGTCCATACAATGACCATGGTGTTGCCCACATGATCATCGCTTCGCAACATCACGGTACACTAACACCTCTTAGAGCATCCCGTCCGCCTCTCATGAGCCGCCTCAGTCTAGCGAGAAGCCCGACTTCCCATTGCCCAGCATGATACGCGACGAGCCGCCTCACGAGTCCCCTCAACACATCAAGCAGGAGGAAGTTAAGAAGCTTCTGAGACACGCGCCGTTACGTAAAGCATCTGGGCATGACGGTGTCGCATATGAGGCACTGAAGATGTGTATGGATGAGATCACACCCTTGTTGACCTGGATATTTCAGGCCTGCAATGATTTGGGATGCCACCTTCAGCACTTCAAGGACTGTATCACGATCGTGATCAAGAAGCCTGGCAAACCCTCAGACAAGCCGACGTCTTACCGACCAATTGCTATATTGAACACGATTGGAAAGCTCTATGAACGTCTCCTCGCCGATCGATGCAAGGAACTCATAGTCGAGCAGAAGTTGATCAAGGGCTTACAATTTGGCTTGCCGGGGCGGAACACTACTCTGGCCGTAGAGTACCTTACGAATACCATCCACTCCGCTTGGCACAACGACCGTAGTGCGAGCTTGCTTGGACTTGACCTCAGTGGAGCCTACGACCACGTCGATCGAACGAAGTTGTTGGAGTCCATGATCGACAAGCGTTTTCCACATTGGCTCGTCAAAGTCATTTGGTCGTTCCTCTCAGACCGTCGCAGCTACATTCACATGCCAGGATATGAAGGCGATGAGTATTGGATTGACGTTGGGGTGCCTCAAGGAAGTCCTCTTTCATCTCTGCTCTTTCTGATATACGCAGCTCCCCTTCTCGATGAAGTCAATCAGGGTCATGGAGTCGTAGTATTCTCTTATGTCGACGACACTTACATTGTGGCTACATCCAACTCCTACGAAAACAACGTCAAGCTCCTGGCCGACACCCACAACAAACTCCATGAGTGGGCGGAGAGACATAACCTGCGGTTTTCACCAACGAAGTACAACGTCATGCACTTCCTTCGGCCTCACAAGCAGGAGCCCCGTGTTGCTGATCAACTACGCCTCCTGCCAGATATTCCGGGATTTCGGGGTCTTACCCAGAAGGAGAAGGACAAGATTCTTGCGCCAACAGTCAAAGTATTGGGAGTGGTCTTCGATCGGCGCCTCACCTTTGAGGCACATGTGGAAAGCGTATGTGACTGAACAATTCATTCGCGTTTATCACAAACTGACCTTTGTTAGATTGTCGCAAAGGTTCGTACAGATCTGGCAGCCTTCAAGCGCTTCAACGGTCCGACCCATGGCCTTGATGTCATAGGAAAGCGTCAACTCTATTGGGGCCAAATGCTGCCCAAGATTCAATACGCTGCTGCTGGCTGGTACATTCATGATCCAAGCGAAGAGATTGGTAAAGACTCTCTGAAGTACCCGATTTCCGCCACAGCGTTGAAACGTCTCGAGACACTTCAAACCGAGATCCTAACTACCCTCTCTGGTGCCTGGAAGTACACGGTCTCAGAGATTATTGAGAAAGAGATACACGTTATTCCGATCTTGGCCCAGCTGCACGGAACTGCAATGAACCACCGATGCAAATGGGCCAAGTCCGAGGAGTACAATATCATGCGTGCAGCGCGCGTCCGTGGAAGAAAAGCGCGATCCGGAGACTTTCCTTTCAATGAACTTGACAAACTCACCCAGAAGTACCTCGACATGACTTACGCAGCCAAATGGAATGAATGTCAGGCGAAAGTGCCGCGGAAGTTGAAGATTTCGGACGAGATAGAGTTGCTGGGTCAGATGCATGAGTCGCTTGTAGTGCCAGAGGAGGACTTTACTACAATCAACGTCAGCGAACTGGACGATGAGTATGTACCTGGCGGTGAACAAGAAAGCGGCGGAGAAGAGCGCGGAGAGCGCACCTCAACAGGAGTCGTGGACATCAACAATGTGGAGGATTTGTGGTTCGACCCTCTGAAGCGACAAGCCTGGGTCAAGGAGTTCACTGCGAACCTCGTGTTCAGACTTGCGGAACGCTGGTGGCAGCGCTGGAAAAACGAACAAGCGGACAAGAACAAAGTCTTCCACGCGGCCCATGAAGGTAATTGGGGTGATCATTTCCTCAAGCTCTATGTGGGTTTGGACGCTGCGCAGGGCACGAAGCTTCTCGGCATGAGAACCGGCAATTTGGGTGTGAGGACCAATCCAACATACCAGTTCGCCACGAAGAGCTTCGAGACCATCTGCCCGCTATGCAACAAGAAGGATCACACTATCGAGCATCTGATGATGAAGTGCTCGCAGCTCGCTATCCAGCGGACGTTTCTTTTTGAAGCTGCTGGCCACCAGGACTTCAGCTCGTTTCTTAGTAACCCCAAATATACGGAGATGGCAGCATCATGGTCCATTTCCTTCATGCGTCTTGAGCAATTCAATCATTGCAAGAACAAGAAGAAGTATGCCTTCCCCCGCCAACTGGTTCAGCCTAGGAAGAAGTAGGTGCAGATAGTCTAGAATAAGTATGTAGCTTCATCAATGTCATCTTGTTAACATTAGGTGGTGGCGCCCAGTTGAGGGGAACCCCAGGGGACGAATCGACACTTATTCGACAGTGTTTCGATTGATGACTAACACTACACCATTACTAACATTGTGGGTATCCCAAAGTATGTTGTTGCTCTGTTCACGATGACTGACAAGTTCTGCAGCTTTCGCTCGGTATGTTGCCATCTACTCCCTCCACCCCCTCCACCCCCGGTCTCAACACCACCTCCGGTTCCAACACCACTACCACCTCTGGTATCAACGACGCGCCAACATCGCGAGCACCCCCGGCTTCAACCCGCTTCTCCAATGCCGTACGCTTCTGGCTCCAACACCACTACCACCTCTGGCATCGACGACGCGCCAACATCGCGAGCACCTCCGGCTTCAACCGGCTTCCCCGATGCCGCACGCTTCCGGCTCCAATACCTCTACCACCTCTGGCATCCACGACGCACCAACATCGCGAGCACCTCCAGCTTCCGCCACACTTCCGGCTTCAGCCACGGCTCAAGACTTGATCGCCGATCATTGCAATATCACCGTCTCACTATCACCATCTTACCACCACATCACTATCACCGTCTCACCTCGACATCGCCGTCACCTCGACATCGCCGTCACCTCGACATCGCCGTCACCTCGACATCGCCGTCACCTCGACATCGCCGTCACCTCGACATCGCCGTCACCTCGACATCGCCGTCGCCTCGATACTGCCGTCACCTCAAGCCCCCGAACCGCTTCGTCACCGTCGCCTCAAGATTCAACATCTTTATCGCCCTCATTGCCGCTCGGCAAGACGGCGAGACGCGCCGGCAGAGATTTGCCAACGTCTGACTCTTACTAACAGCTCACAGTTCCCGGCGCAACATGCGCCATTCACCGTACGTTCTCACCCATGTCGCCGCCACTGAGGTCCACACAGTTAACAGACGCGCAGCATTCCCGTGCCCATGCCAGACTTAGGCACATTGACGCAGCACCCTGGCCATCCAAGCCTTGTTCCCGTATGCTGTCGCCAACAACATGGCTTTCCCCATGCTAACATCCCTAGTTCCCCAAACAGCTCCTTCATGAAGTCCACATCCCCCTTGCTCATGATCTTTCTTGTACCCATTTCACGTTGGAAGTTGTTGAGGGCTAGCAGCTGCTGCCCGATGATCTTCTCTAACACCCCATCCCTATAGTTGCCCTGGTTGAGATGAAGGACCTGCAGAAGGATGAGCCAGCCGGTTTCCAAGACGAGTAAGTTCCACTTTGCTAAACCCGGACGAAGCTTGACTTCTGGTGGTCGAGTCAGTACTTTGGGTATCGTACCAGACTCAGAGGACCTGGATTGCATCAAGATCTCGACGCTCGATCAACTTCTTCCAAGGACAAATATCTAACTTCGTGTGCAGCGCAGGCTTCCTTGACGTTAACCCAAGCCACGACTACATCATCAACAACCCCCGGTTCAATGCTGGCGACATCAGCACTGAATGCGGACGCAGGGTTGCCGCTGATGTCGTGGCTACAGATTTCTTTGGTACGTTTGAGCGTAGCCGTTCGCTCATGTGCATCATGCTAATGCACGCAAAGATTTTGTCCTGCAACCATAGGGACAGTGTCTTGTCGTTGAGGAGGAGAGCAGGAGTGGGCGATAGGTTGGGGTCGTCGAGGAGTTGATCCAGGAGGATTGCCTGGCGGTTGTCGAAGCGTGTCGACATGATGTACGTCTCCTCTCTACTGTTTTTGTCTTGTTCTTCTTTGCATCCTGTTCTTCTTTGCATCCTGTTCTTCTTTGCATCCTGTTCTTCTTTGCAGCCTGTTCTTCTTTGCAGCCTATTCTTCTTTGCAGCCTGTTCTTCTTTGCAGCCTGTTCTTGTTTGCAGCCTGTTTTTCTTTGCAGCCTGTTCTTCTTTCTCGGCCCTTGTCCGCATGCGCTGTATCATTTTCGTCGCCACGCGCTGTACTTTTCCTTCAACGTGCTCTCCTTCAACGTGCTTCTGGGCTATCCTGTACTTCTCCGATGCGCTGTACCTGCTCAGGCCGCGATGACTTCTTCACCGTGTGTTCCCTTCCGCTAGATACATCTTCTCTGTCGCGTTGTTTCTTCGTCGCGGTGTTTCGGCGTCACGCAGATGCCATGCTGCTATTATGCGCTTTCCGCTGTTTCTGCGCTGCACCTGTCCATGGTGGTGTAACTTTTGCTGCGTATTGCCTTGGGCTCTAATGCGCCGTCGTTGCCGCCGCGTGGTTTCTTTTGTTGTTTGTCTCGTTCGGGTGTGTCTATATGTTGCTACGTATTGCCTTGGGCTCTAATGCGCCGTCGTTGCCGCCGTGTGGTTTCTTTGTTGTTTGTCTCGTTCGGGTGTGTCTACATGTTGCCGCACTTTGCTGGTGCGCTTCGCGGTGGACTGAGCTAACTGAAGGCCTAAACAGCTATTCAGTCAGCGATGTACAGTAGATGGAGGAGAGGTAAGTTTGAGCGTCTCCGCTTATGCTGCCCGCGATATTGACGCGCGCAGTACTCACTGATGTGGTGGGCGAAGCGGGTGTTGGAGGACAGGAGGATGTAAGGCTCATGAAACGCTGACGTGGTCGCACTCACTGACGTTTTGCCGCAAAGACCTTCAGAACTTTCATTTATCGCGCCCGGTGTGGTACGTTCGACTCCATCTGGCTTGCGGATGGTGGCTGACTATTGGACAGCGCACCCAAGCATTTCGGTACCAAGAACCCTCCATGGTAAGCTCCACATCCCAATGCATCATCATCGCGTCCACTAACGCGGCTGCAGGAGGTCTCAACGGACGCCCACGAATGGGCGTCGCGTTGATGGATTGCGGTGTGAGTTGTATCGCCATCCATGTCGCCATCGGTCGCTAACCACACGTCATCTCAGACCAAAGTGATCTTTGGCAAAAAATCGAAAATGTTGAAATATCGGCCGGGGCTCGGCGCGCCGAGCCCCACATCATGTGAGTCTTCTTGCGCATTGCGACTCAACTTCGAACCGTACCAACATCTCTCCAGTTACCATCCAATCGCGAGCAGGCTGCGGGGGCCCTGCACCTCATACTTATCCTTATATACCTATATACTGTTGCTTGCAACACCAGATCGATGAATACAATTACGTGGCGGTGGTGATCCTCGCTCACCAAAACTTCGTTCCATGTGCTCTTCCATCGTGATGTGACGAGATGGCTTTGACATTGCTGTAGCCGGTGCGGTTGGGCTGGCTGGCACGCTGAGCAGTTCGCAGCCGGGCGCGGACTGCGGCAGCCCCGCCGACCTCCGCACTCCGCAGCCTTGGCGAAGGCTAGAGCGCCTTGTACCATGGACTGGTTTGCATGCTATCGCACCAAAGCGTCGCCCAATTTTTCTTCATTAACTGCGACTCCCCCACCGCCAGCCATCCACCTGACCAAATCTATCGCTTGAACACCACAGAAGCCAAAGACTTCACCTAGCTTGGATCAACCTGCGCATACGACAACAAGCTTTCGACCAAGCTTCAGAGAGTCAGCTCACACAAGACTGTAAGTGAGCTCAAAGCCTCTGGCGGCGCCTGGCTGAGCATGCAGCTGACCCTTGATATAGCTGCCCACGCCGAGGACCTCTCAATACGCATCAAAACCTCGAGCATGCCGACCCTTCTCGAATTGCCCCGCGAGTTACGCGATCTCATCTACGATCACTACTTCAGCGTCGACGGCGGATACGTACACGATTTCGCATCGAACAAACTCAGGCAGGCGGATGGTCAAAACATTGAGCTTTCTTTGGTGCTTGTGTGCAGGCAGATCGCCGACGAAACACGCGCACTTGGGCTACGTATCAACACACTTCGCTTCTCGACATTTCATTCAGACGCCACCCAGGTGCAGGCCGGTCTGCTCCACGCCACTCATGAAAGCATCAATAAACGCAAAGTGTCGCTACTAAATGCGTCGGCTCCAGACCTCCTCAGTTCGGAGGATGCACAGACAATAAAGATCAAGTATCCGCAATTCGCCCCGATGATTGACATCTGGCGCTCTCATGGTGGTCTTCGTATACTCGATAGGAGCGACGTAGACTGTGGCGAAGCGCCGTCAATTTGGCGTGATTTCGTGGCGTTCACCTTGAACCTGGTGTCCCAAAATCCAGGCTTCGCTGCGAAAGCCAAAGCAGGGTCTCAGTTTTGGAGACCGTACGATTTTGATGATGCTATGGACCTGAACAACGCCTGCTTTGAGCCTTGGTGTATCGTGGACGCTACAGAAATTGAACGGCTGCAAAAGAAGGTTACGTACGTATGCGATGGTCTACCCTATACTTGGCCCAACGCAAAGTACAGCTACTCGGCAGCAACAGTCAGTTTTCGGTTCCTCGACTCTCTTTCCAACTCTACCCGCGAAACTATCAGGAAAATCGTGCTGCTAGAAGACCATCAGTCCATTGCGGACCCCGCAAGTCACGGCAGAGGGTACATCACTCTCTGTCAATCTCATCCGAAAATGCGAGTTGAGCGCCTGGTCTGTCTCTGGGAAACGGTGTTTCCTGTTGCAAAATCCAGCATGCGGGACTTCCTATACGGCAGCCAGGACCTTGTTACGAAAGGATTGTTGGATGACGAACGATGCCCTGCTGGTGAAATAACCAAGGCCGTGGGTATGTGGATAAAAGAGGCCATGGCTCTGTTTGCACTGGGTATGCCCAAAGATTCCTTCACGTTGGTACTCGATGGCGACCCTATCCCGGAACACACCTCCCACGTTTTTAGCACGCTTCAGCGCGATGCGGCCTGGCAAGACGCCTTCGACGCCTGCTACGTCCGTGGTATACTAGCAGAACCGTCCTGGTTTGATCGACGAATCAACCAAGGGTACATGTATGAAGGACTGCCTGAAGTGGTTCGCACGCTTTCGCCCAACAGCTCGCCAATTCGTACGAACTTCCCTCTTGGTTCTGCGGAATCATATGACGTCGAGCGGCTACTACGGGAGAATCAAGGATGGTCCATCCAGGACTGGAAGGAAGGCTGGGCAAGACATGAGCCGGAAGAGTTCCAGACCGAGGCGCCGCTGCCCCCATGGCACCTTCTGCGTTGGGGTAACGTCATTTTGTAAGCCTGAGTAAGACTTAGTCATGAAAGTCAAACCATTGCATCTATGGGAGGTTTTCGATAGATCTGTATGTAAAGTCAATTTCGATATGCTCTTTCGGTTGTCTGTGCTCGTACAATGCTCTGCACTATGAACGTGATCTGGCACTTCAACTGACTTGATATATCGTTATTGCTATGGTGAAACTGACATTGTGAAACTGACGCAAGATCGCACATTATTGCTTTGGCCTCAGCGAACGGTGGCGGAGAAACATCAGAAGGCCGGGTCAAGCCAAAGCATTGCCTCCCGATGACAACGGGCGCACGCTATGACTCGCCAACCTGGCCAGCACGTTCGGAATGAGTGGATGACCAGAGGACAAGGATTTCATCATCCAAACACTAGTCGTGTTCATCGGAGCTGCATGTAAGCGTTTGTCTACATAGCAGGAATTTGACGAAAGATAACCTTCTCTGAGTGTTAGGCGCAGTAGTACGCATTGGTTCAGATGAAATGCTTGTTACCGGAGGGCCCACTGACGGTTCCCATACAATGCCTCATTCTTGGAGGTGTAAAACTCACGATAGCGCTGCTCTCGAAAGCCTACCTAGGTATTGTTTCGGCTGGGAAGACATCTACAGGCTGGAGGTATCCACGTACTATTCTGCTACCTGAGTACCAGTGGTACACTGCAAATCCCTTATCACGAAACGTGAGCTTCAGCGTAGGACGTGTTCGCACGTCTAGACCCATGCGGTGCTGGTCCGAGGAGGTTGGGCAATCGGAAGGGCCGAGCGCTGCGTCGCGTTGCCTCACGACGCGTCACAAGGAGCTTCTACCTACCTCCAGTACGTATCCCACGAGAGGACCACGGCACCCTACAACAGTCATACGCCGGTCTCATCAGCCCCAATATTTGGAATATGAGTAACAACGTGATTCGGAACTCCATAGTGTTTTACACTGATGGCAGCTCGCTTGGCAAACCGAAGAAAAAGGGCAAACGGGCTGCCGGTTGTGGAGTCTTCTTCGCCCCAAACGACCCAAGGTAAGTGAAGAAGCGGATGCTGCACAAGACTTTGCTCTGTGCTGCTTGTAACGCAAGCGCTCAACTGACATGATCATAGGAACTACGGAGGCGCGCTAGGCCCCGACCCTCAGACGAATCAACGCGCAGAACTCGCAGCCATCTGGGAAGGCCTCACGAGAATCAAATTCACGGATCATGCCACCATTTACACCGATTCAGAGTACGCTATGTTCGCACCAACATCGAGGTACTACACACAGAAGCGGAACAGCTGGAAAACACCCGAGGGAAAACCTGTTCCGAATATTGATCTTATCGAACCGATTTTCCAGCTTCTAGTACTGCGAAAGGCTTCCGGTGCAACGACGGACCTCCGCTGGCTCAAGGGTCACTCAGGCTATCCAGGAAACGAAGCAGCTGATAGACTAGCTGCAGAGGGAGCAGAGTACGTTGTAAAGTCTTGCATACAGGCACCAGACTACGGTCACTAATATGTACCAGGCGTGAATGGTTGCGGCGGTATGGCACACCATATTGCGAAGAACCAGCAAGCATGTCGAGCGCTTGGAACCCTCTTCCACGTGGGAAGAAGTTGATTAAGCTTCCAAATGGGGAGGAGGCGCTCGTGCCTATCGACGATGTGGATTTGAAACGAAAAGAAGCCAAGCAGCAGAAGAACCTAAAGAATATTCAGACTGCCGAGCGCAACAGAAAGACTGCTCGACGAATTCGCCCAAAAAGCAAGGCCGAGCGGCTGGCGCTAAAACGAGCTATCGAAGAACACAAGGCGATGTACCCTAAGCCAAGGCTGATGAGTGATGGGCCACCTCATCGCCCGACGGATGCACCGGCTCAACGCCGGGCGGATGTACCAGCTCGACGCCAGACGAACGCACCAGCTCAACACCAGGCGGGTGTACCAGCTCGACGCCAGACGAACGCACCAGCTCAACACCAGGCGGGTGTACCAGCTCGACGCCAGATGAATCCCCCAGCCCAACGCCCACTTCAGCCTTCGCCGCAGCAGCCGATGCAAGTCAGTACAGCTCAACCCACCTTGGGTATAGGGCAAGAAGCGCAGCCAGGGAGGCAAGCCGAAGGTGCTAGACGAGTGCAATTCGGAGTGGACGAAGTAAGATCATATACTCCTGGTGAGGTTATTGACGCGTTTCGGGCGGCGAGTGATGCAGGTGACGTTATTTCGGTGTCCTCGACAGAGGTCTAGCAATCGTCAGCAATTAGTTCAGTCAAAAAGTTCACGAGGCCATAGGCATGCTTTGTGAGATCATTTAATTACCTAAATCAGAGTAGGACTACCTGACTTGGCAGCAATGCAGTATAATTTAAACTCGGGCAATGCTTTATTCGCTCATTGTTCTCCAAAACCTTTGCGAAAACTGATCATTGTGGAAAAGTGGTTTCGAATGACATCAACATACTTAGCCTCATGTACATATTACTGCACATTCTACGAATCCTCTGCGACGCCTCAAGAGTCATTGAGCAATTGGAGCTGTTCTTTGAGACCACCTCCAAGTTCTCAGCGCCAATGTAGAAGGTGAAAGTACCAAACCACTCATTTTGTCTGTGACCGTATCGGCCGTGTCGTCTGACAAATGACTTCCCTCGGCGAAGAGACATGACCAAAGTAAGAATATCCAAGGGTTGGCGAAACATATTTGTTGGATCGACGGTGCCAGGTGCTGAGGGACCAGGGACATTTCCAAGTTTACCCCCGAGATCGGCTATTAGGGTGATGCTGAGATGAGACGGGTTGGCACTAAGTTACCTGCCACCAAGCTATGTCAAAACCTGCGCATCTATTCAACTTTGGCAACGCCTCTTCGGGACAAAAGCCCATGTCGCTACCTGCATCTGTTATTGGAGTGAGCGCGCTTGTCCAGAGGGTTGGGTAGCTCGTGAGCCGCGCGAGTTCCAGACTGAGGCGCTGCTATAGCCGTGGTACCTACTCCATTTGCAGTATTTTATAAGATAACTTTCGACAGCATGCGTGGAGGTGGAGATAATGAAGGTGAAGTTCATAATGGGATTCAGGCTATGTCACCACGATTGCGCCGTGCGCGTGTGCACAAACGTGGTTTTACCCCGCGCATTTAGATAGCCTCGCATCTCGACAGCTTGTGAGGCCATTTTGGCACGGAGTTCAAGACATTCACCCGTTCTAAACCATGGTATATACCCAGATGAGGAAAATGACAAAAGAACAATACTCAAAGGTTCTTGAAGACATTGCCATTGGAGATAACACGAAATCTTGCGCGTGTCGTCGCATTTGTAGAGAAACAACTATCCATTCACATCAATTACATCAACCGCCCGCTAGATGCTTTGGCCGGCAATCAAGCCCCTGAATAAATTTTCATAGTCCTCGTTTTCGTAGTCGTCGCTTTCCTCGTCGTCGCTTTCATCAGCTTCACTGTCCTCATCTTCGCACGAGAATTCTTGCATACCATCGTCTGATCGAATGTCCCACCATGCACATGGCGTGGAGCAACGACAGATCAGTGGACTGACAAAGGGTTAGCACATGAGCTTGACTACGTATTGGAAGCGACTTACAACAAACGAGAATCGCGTACGGCCAAAATCTTGGCAACTTTGGCTGTCATGTCGCGTCTTTCTCTGGGTTCGTCTGTGCGCGTCTGGTCGCGCAGTAAAGGATCCCATCTCCTGTGGTTTGAGCTTTTGACGTGTCCAGAAATTGTGACTTCTCTGATGTCACGCAGGAACTCGTAGCCCAAAGTCATGATCATGTCGACGAACTTTTTCTGGCAACAAACGTCATACATTCTGTAATGATGAGGCCACGGGTTCCACGGGTTAAAATAGTCGGGTTCGAGAGAATCGCGTTGCGTTGTTAATACCTGGAATTGGAGGTTCAGATGCTCCAGGGTACGTATTTCGCTCAGCAACCTCAAACCGCCAGGTCTGGATCGCAAGTCGCACTTCGTCTTCGTGACCCCGTTGTCCTCGGCAGAGTAACCGACAAACGGGAGGTACTTTTTGTTTGGGAGACTCAGAAATACGCGTCTTAGTACGCAAGGGTCTCGAGGTTCGAATACGTGTCCTGGTAGTTCTTGCTGGGCGCAGTACTTCTGAAGATACCGTGCGACGGCCGTCAGATCGTTCAACCTGTTGAAGCATTTTATAGATTTGCTCCATAATATATCCGCAACTTCTCCACGCACTAAACGACTGACGCGGAGTAAGCTCATTGCCGAAGTTTGCTGTGTTTGAGTAGGACCCAGGCCGATATACTTGCTGAGTGGCGAGCCTTCATAGGACGTTTGGAAACGGGTTCCTTGGCGGTACATGAAAGGGATGGGATAGACGCCGGTTGATATCCCGTTATACCAACCATCTGCGCTAAACTCATCGAGAGCATCAGCGTAGTTGTAGTCGTCGTAACCAGCGGCACTGAGCTGATCGAGAGCAGCATCATGAATGGAATCGTAATACATCTCGGCGGAGGCAATAAGGTGGTTGTACTCTCCATCGAGAGTCAATTTGTTGTGGTAGGCGTGATAACGGGCGTCGTCTTGAATGTAAGGACCAGTGTACTCGTAGGAGTCGGAGGAGTCGGAGTCGGAGTCGGAGTCGTCGTCGATGTCCGCAGAAATTATCCGCCCGTGTTTCCGGGACGGGAGATGTGGCCAGATCTGCTTCCCAACCACAAACTCGAAAATCATGTATCGTAGGTCTACAGGGAGCTCCAATAATCGGAAAGGAATGCCAGCACTGTTGTGATACTCTTCCAGAATAGTTTGTCGGACCTCGTGTTCGCCATACATCTTCTTCAGCCATCCACCAACGGATTGCCAGCAGCAGTCGTCTCTCGAGAATGTTCGCCGGTAAGGGGGATGATCGTGTTCCTCCCAGTCATTTAGCTCGAGTTCCGATAAGTTCTGAAGAGGCCCACGCCGAACAACAAAGATATGTCTTTTTCTACAGGCTGGTAGATGCAATCTGTAGCGGAATCTGTTGGAGGCTTCATCGCAATGGATGTCGTCGGACGGAATGAGGAGATAGTCAACGAAGTTCGCAGCGAGAGTCGGGCTACGCCTGCATTCCTCCTCGATAATGGAACGTAAGCGAATGAGCAATGGATGCTGCTAATGTAAGCAAGAGTACAAGATCATATCACTTCATACATACCAGTAGCGTCGCGGGCCCATAAAGTGCTTTAATGACCTCATCTTGATGTAGGCGAAACTCAAGTAAGAGTTCGAACAGATCATAGTCGTCGACCCAGTCATCATCTCGCGAATTTGATCCCAGCCCTTCGACAAGACTACGCAGTGCATAGTCGGAAGGAAGACGAGCGCTGAGCTCCTCGGTTTCTGAATCTTGGTAGGTAGGAGACATGCTGCTGTAAGTGTGAAGTAGGCGGGCGGAGATGTCAGCAGAGAACCAGGTGGCCTTGGAACGATGCGTAATGAAGGCCGGAACACTTTCGACAGAGATGCCCAGCAGATTTGGAGAAGAACGCCCCTGTTGCCGGAAAAAGATGCGCGGAAGCCTCGCTCTGCTCCGTGCTCAACTCACGATGGCCCGGCTCTTGGGCTTTCAAAAGACGCAAACACCTCATGTTCCATTTTGAAACGTTCTGTTGGCATCAGGGAATGTTTAAAATTCTCCGGATGAGCTCAGAATCTACTTCATGGGGTGCTCACGCGATTATGTGTCTCACGCGATCATGTGTCGTCGTGTTGGACATCATAGCACATGCGGCGATGGGTCCGAGAGGTTGGTTGATGCGGCAACAATCCCAGAAGGGTTCAGCGTGTCGCCTCCCGCTCCGCGCCCGGGCTCATCTCGGCTTCACAGCAGCTCTCACGTACGATGACCCCACCCCGATGAAGAGAGTGCGCCTTGGACTCGAACTGCGGTCTGGTTCTAGGTCGGACTGGTCATTGAGATGGTACTTTGGTATGCCGTATGATTGCGATAGCTTTAATGTTGTTCGCGGGTGATGCTGATCTCGTGCCGACACCGCCTAGGCACGACCCATGCTGGTCATTCGAGCCTTCGGAGCGCAGCTCCACTCCGCGGGAAATTCGTCGCACTCTCAAACGCGGAGGAATATATTACGTATTGACAAGAAGGCATTGAATCGTGTATATACTCGAAAGAAGCAACTAGCCAGGCGCCAACCACCGCGTCACCGCCCAGGAAGCCCGCATAGCGGAAGCCGAGATGTAACGCCCAACCCAGGTTGGAATAATGAGCGATCAGAACGGGTTTGTCGATCTTATTCAATCTACTAGCATGGCATGTACTTCATGCATTGGGTACGACTGAAACATCAAGGTTAGACCCATCCGCGCTACCTAGGTAGTCTCCGCAACTGAACTCAGAGACGCCTTGCCCGAAACCGTTCCAGAAGTCGCATCGACGGGGACAATCGCAGCGCAGTGATCTATATCCAAGTCAGTGGAATGGATGCGATGAGGACAACGTAACTTACAGTTCGTGAACAGGAGTCGCCTTGATTCTCGCAATCTTGCGTGAGAAGTCGTGGCGAACACCCCACTTCAAACCCCGCCAAATCGGCTCCCATATAGCGCGAGTACTGTGCTTGACATGGCCAGTGAACGTGATATGCGGGACGAGGCGAGTGTCCGTCTTCGCCTCTACGAACTTCATGTACAGCCCCATGAAGAACCAGTCAACCAGTACAGCTTGGCATGAGGTCTCGTACACAGAGAATGGATCGGCCCATCCTTCATCACTCGGAATTCGAATTTGACCTGGACGCCACCTTGGCGGGCCGGTCGTAAATTCGATCTCCAAAAACTGCAGATTTTCCAAGCCCATGAGCAGCCCCAGCCCCAGTGGGCCCGTATCTTCTGCAGGGCCATCTCTGTAATTGAGTAGCCGGAAGTAGTCTAGATTTGCCAATCTGAGGGATATCCGGCGAAGGGCCATGAATGGAAGAGCCTGCATCTTCGGGATGGTCTCAACAATGTCGTGTACGCGGTCAAAGTGCTTGGTGGTAGCTTCCCATACAATGTTCTGAAATTCGATCGTGAACGTCTTACTAACTAGCAATAGCGGTACAACGCTGCTGGCTTGATGATATTGCAGGGTACACGGGCATCGGGCCGGACAGAAGGATGCACGTGGGGACACCCTATCCCATTCCGGGTCCTCGACATCCAGCCTCAAAGGCCAAACGAGACGGGGATCTATAGGACCCTGCGACGTGTCGGGAGTGGACGTTCCCTCATTTATCAGCTCGCCTTCAGGTGTTCTTAACAGCTTTATCGGCTTCCAGCTAAACTGCGGTTGACGGATGCGGGGCCGCAGGACCGGTCCTACTAGAGCTTCGAAGACCATGTAGCGAAGCTCTTTCGGTAGGCGCATGAAGGGAAACTTCTGTCCTAAGCGGACGTAGTCCGACCAGAGGCCAGCATTACGCACGGTCTCGCCGTAACACCGTCTCAAACAGTGCCTGGCAGGTGTCCATGAGGGCCTTTCATCACAGTAGCGGTGGATGTAGAGCTCTTTGTTGCCATCGACCAGCTTCCATCGGGTGCTGATAGACAAGGACGCGTGACCATTATCGCCGGTTGGTGTCACGAGCTCGAAGGATTCGACGGCATGTTTCGTAGGCGATCGGGGTATGATGCGAGTGTCGTCCGTGTTACCGAAGAAGGTGAAGCATTCAGATCGCTCTTCGTTTATGATGCCAACGAGGGTGTGGAAGGCTTTTGTGTAGCCGTGTGTCGATACCTAGTTGTGTCAGCCGCCTGCTTTGATGATGCTGGAAGATCCTAACGGTCGTCATCTTACGGTTGTGATAGTGTGTTCGGATTTCAGACTGGGAGGAGTGTATCCTCCGACGTAGTCCGAGTCAATAGTGTACACCCTGTGATCTTCAGGATGCCAATTCACTGACTGCAGGATCCCGTAAGATGACTTCATGGGCTCCTCACTCGAGCCTGCGCGGTCTTGGATGGACAAATTCTGATCTCAACGACTCCGAGGTCCATTCGAAAGAGCTCAGAGTCCAGCTTGCAGCTTCGCGCAGAGCTAGTCAGCGTAGGTAAGGTCAACAAAGATACGGACCTTCATTCATAATAGGGGTCGTGTATTGAACGGTAAATAAAAAATGTAGTACCGGGAAAATGCATTCTTGCAATGAAGCTCACATATTCGCGCGATGCGGTAAGCGCCGATGCCGAGGCACACGCCCATTCAACCGCGGGGCAACGATTCGGGACAGCATCACATGATTTGAGAGCTAAGCCTAATGCGGACGTGTTACCCAACACCTCTCAATTATTACACGCATACGGGTCGTTTCGTGCATGTATCACCGAGCTCCAGATACTGTCGCGCTTTGGAACCATGATCTATGAAAGTTTGGCAGGGTACTCCGGAATGACAGCCTCCCAACAGCCCATATGCGCTGCAGGAGATCGGAGGCGGTATATATGTTAATGATCAGTCAACCTGTCGCAGTCAACCTGTCGCACTCCGTGGTATTTGCCAGGCCCGTGTATGCAGTGTGTCGAAGCAATGACTCAAACAAGATGCGAACAGCAAGACTCTTCTCTGGACGGAGAACCATTCCAGCGATTGAAGTATTTCGATAGACTCCATATCCGTCGCTAAACCTCCAACAAACTCTTCACCTCATTGACCATCAAGCTATCCTCACCAGCCTTCGCTAGAACCTTCCCTATCGTACCGACGGCATCCATGACTTTCCAAGTATCTCTCAGCTCACCATGCATGTCGGCAGCATACACTAACCAACCAATACATATAATAGTCATTTTCTGATTCTCACTCCACTGCTCTTCGGTGCCAATGATCTCCAGCAGCGAAGCTAGAAGCTCGCCTTGCTCCGCTTCCGGTATTTCAGTCTCCGAAGACAAAGACTGTGTCTGATTTGCGCTGTGCTTCTTCATGCGCACTTGATGGTTCGAAGACGTCATGTTCATTGCCAGGCTGAGAGCCGAGGCTTTGAGCGCGGGGTGTTTCTCGTCAAGGAGCGCAGTTGTCAAGATCGAGATTAGCGTTGATGAGAGCGGCGGAGAGAGAAGATGTGGTATGAAGAGCGGCGATGAGAAGAGATTACATGCGAGATGTAATGTCGTGAGTCTAAGTGGATAAGGCGCCGAATCGCCGAGCTTGTCAACGTGGCCGAGCAGAAAGTGTATCGTAGCAGGTGTACCAGTTGCTCCTTTGTGTTCTTCCGCAAAGAAGCCTGCTACACGAACGTCGGTCAGAGATACCCTGAGCAGGTCTATGACCATGAACAGAAGCTCTGGAGGGAGTACTGAGATGCTCTTCCTTAGGTAATCAGCAAACTGCGGCAAATTCCCTAAAGGTGCTTCTATGGCCCCAGATTGTTCGCGGGTCTGTATGAAAGATACAACTGACGACACAGCTGGCTCCCGTCCTGCATCTCCCATCTTCGTGACAAGCTTCTCCAGTGGCGGCACCTTGGTGAACTTGACAGGCCTTTGACTTTGCCGCAACAGCATGGGTGTGCTCTTCTCGAGATGTGGGTGCGCTGGGAACGCGGCGTTGACCAGCATCTCCACGTTGTTCCGCAGCTGCCTCGGATCAGCTCCACTCCACTCGTCTCGCTTTTCGCCCTTAAGGTATGTTATGAATGTCGGAGTTGCGCGAACGTTCGGGTAGCGGGTGCTGATGGAGCGATCGGCGTGGGTAAAGTCGATTTTGATGAAGACGCACTTGGTGCCAGTCTCGGCGGCAAGGTCGTCGTAGGGTTGGTACACCAACTTGCATGGCGCGCATGTGGAACTCGTGAAGAAGATGATGGCGCAACGGTCTTTTGCGAGATCGAGAAGGCGGTCTACATCCTTCAGTGCTGTTATGTTGTTGACCCTGCCCGTGTTCATTTCCAAAGCACTGCCCCCAGAAGAGACCCCATTGGATGTACTTGCGCTCGACGCTTTCGTATGGGGTTGCGGTTGTACCGGCTGCGGTGTGGGCGCTTGGACGATTGGTCGCATAGCGGCGTCGATTTGCGGTTTGAGCATCTGTCCGAACGGCGTGTTCAAGACGGTCTGTGGGAGGGAAGTGATGTGGTCTGGTATTCCTTTGCCGACAAGGAACATGGCGAAGTCGTTCGAGAAGTTGTTGCAGTTGTGCGCGAAAAGATCGTACGACTGGATAAATTGTTAGCATAGCCAGAGCATGCATGCGACAGGCACCCTACCTCGGCAGTATATATCTCCTTTAAAGACTCTAGGTACTCTAATATGACCTCCATAGGAAGCACAGTCTGCCCCAGCTTAACTACTTCCATTGGCCGGCCATGGTGAGTAGTGCCCGCCCGACATGTCTGCACGCCTGATCCGTAGTAGTATTCTACGCCGTCGAGTACGATTGAGGTGTGATACACGGCATCAATCTGTTCGGAAGAATGTCTTAGCAGATGCACCACGTATCAAGAGATATTCGGCTTACCTGTATGCCCAGGAATTGCTGCGACATGCTTCGCGCAAGACCCTAGATGCCGTCAGCTCCGAACACGTCTACAAAGCGCCGCGAAAGATCGCGTATGTACATCTGCTCCAGCCACTTACTTGAGAAAGGTCATACACATACAGTTGGACGTCCATCCTGGAGAAGGTTTTGTAATGGCTATGACAGTGACTAGGTAATATTACGCCTCGTGGAAGTGTGCAGGCGTTGCGGGAGGTGCGCGGGTAGATATGAAGATGACGTAGAATATTCCGGAAGGTTGACGAACGCTCCGGCGGCACGATCCACAGACGCCGCGAATCACGCTAGCACCTGACATTGCACACGCCCAGGCGTCAAGTTTCTGTCGGCGAGCTGCCGGAAATCATTCGTCAGGCACACTTTCCACAGACCACGATCCAGTCGATGTAGATTCCCATTACATTCGCCGTTCAATATCTATGGTAAGATCCAGGGACCACTTGAGCGGTCAGAAAAAACCCCAGGTTACCTATAGTTGTCATTGTAAATAGAGGCACGGAAGATTGGGGTATACAGTAGAGCATGCACATTCCGTTCGCATTGCAGACTGAAGCACTATTACTGCCTTGGCATGTACTTCGTTGGCGGCATGTTTTGCCATAGAGACATTTCACGTACGTTCGAAGACGCAGGAATTTGCGCCCATTGGACATGTTGTAGCGTCCGCGGCCCTTTTCGTATTGCTATAGTTTGGATTACTTGAGGTATGAGTGGCTTATCGCCTTAATGATCTAATAGCAGAAAACCGTACCGCGCAGGGGGGGGTCTAGGATAGAATGTCTTGGCAGCTCCTTCACCGTGACCATCCTGAACAGCCTGTTAAGCCTAATATAGCGATATCTCTGTGAGCAGCCGATACGATGTCAGATGAACACGGTGTTGACGCAGTGTTGACGCAGTGCTGCGGGCCAAAGATGTCAGGGGTGGGAGAGGCAAGAGCAGCCCCGTGGCTTCCATCTCAACAACAGCAGCAGCGACAGCAGCACCAGCAGCACCAGCAGCACCACCAAAACCACCTTCACCGTCACCATCACGTAGATGCAGGGGGAGTAGCTGCCTCTATATATTTGTAAGCGCGCTGCACCTTCTGAGCATGGTTGCAGGCTTGTACAGTGAACATTCACTGTACTAGCACGCTAGCGCCCTCTGCCAAGGCCTTTACCCCATCAAATAACCCCTGACAGCGCTGGCTTTCAACACTGTGCTAGCTTTCAACACTGTGTTAGCAGAACACTGCGTTGTTATTGTTTTGCCCCTGAGATCGTCTCCCAAACCGTCACCATGTTACAAATCAACACTATAACAGCGCAAAAGAGTATGAACATTCACTCTACCTGCAATACAGCGATAAGAGTATGTCAGGGGTAGCTATAGTGACAGCACCGCACCTAGAAACCCCCCCTGCGCGCTACGGAATGGCGACACAATGGCTTGCTGTCTGGAGATAACGCACTGTGCTCTCACGGGTGGTCCCATCTATGGTGAGCTCGAGTAAGTTCATCATCATATCTTGTAGCCGCTATGCCGCAACTAGACGCGCACAGCGATAAGAAGTACAGAATTTCGTCGAGCGTATATACAATGCACGATGAACGGCAGCAGACGCCACACCTGCAGATGCTGTAGCGGCCAGTTCACATTCTATGTTCACCAAAACCTGGGGACGGGATCTCGTCGTGGGGCACACGTTCCAATTAAGTGGCGAAGCGGCCGGCCCGAAATGCACTAATTTTCCCCGCGCTGCTGCCCGTCTTGCAAAATATTCATCTAGCTGTCATCACCACAGACATCTACAGTCAAACCAATTGTTGTCGATTTGAGCGATCATTGTCGCTAATAGCAGTCATGGGAGGACCAGGGCTTCTCACCATTCCTCGGGAGCTGCGAGACCAGATTTACGGACACTATTTCGAACTTGAGGGCGGTTATACTCTCAATCCTTCAACGAACAAGCTCGTCTCTGTAGATTCACAGCCAATTGACTTAAGTCTTAGGTTAGTAAATCTACAGATCAGTAAAGAGACGCGTGGCATTGCCTTCACCCACAACGACATTCACTTCGTTTCCTCTTCATCGTGGGATCGTAAAGAGAACTGGCAGCGTGGACGTTTCGATTACCTATTAAAGAAACTCTCCAGAATAAGAGCTTGGACGCTTTCTTCGGCGATCAAATACCTCAATTCTCATCCTCCTATTCAACGCGAGAGCGGAATCCGTGCCGAAATACCCAAACGCTTTACGCAATTCCTGAACACGGACGAAAGATTATTCCAGGAGAAGATAGCTCATGATATTTCGGGCTGTGGAGAAGTCCCATCTTCGACACGCGAATTCATTGAACAAGAGTTAAGATGGTTGCTATATAATGCAGGTCCACCGTTCAAGGAAAGTCGCGGTTTCCAAACGCTTGTCAGCTTATTTCCATGTATCGATGCTTGGCACATTCCGGAAGTGCAGGATGTCAAGGCACTAGAATCTGGGATGTCGTCCCTCCCCCCCGAGACCACCACCGTGCCAAGGCAGGTCGGTTTCTGGACCGAGGAGCAACATCGCTGTTCGGCTGCATCACTTGCAATTAAGTTCCTACAATCTCTCCAAAAATCTACAAAAACCATGATACGCAGGATCATATTACACGAAGATCGAGTCTCAATCGCTTGGCCGGAGTGTCATGCAAGAGGACTCATTGGCTATTGCAAGCAATACCCGCTACTACGTGTTGAACGACGTGTTAGTCTTTGGAGAAATGTTTTTCCCGCAGGATCACACCCACTGGAAAAGGCTGTTAATGATCCTACCAACCGGCTCCAACCGCAGGTCCAGGAGCGGTTGGAACGGCTATGTGGTGAACACATCAGCGACAGCCTTGCACGATGGATTATGGAAGCACTCAAACTGCCATCACTGGGCATGCCTGAGGGCTCTTTCACCTTGATACTGGATGGAGGCCCAATACCAGAAAAAACATCTGAGGTTTTCAATGTCGCGCTGGAGGACGCAGCTTGGCAGTCTGCATTCGTGGAGCAATTCCCTGTTGTAATCCCCGAAAATTACGGCTTATACGATAAGCATGTCACCAACTCCATTGATCCACAAGAACTATGGATGACCATACGGCAAAGTCCTGTTTACGTCATGACGGGTTTCCCTGAGGCAATGCAAGACATTGCTCACAACACCTCTCTAGTGAAATGCAACTTTCCTATTGGACCAACAGTGAACGACCAGGATCTACGAAAACGCCATGAAAGCATCGCATTTCCTATGTGGGACGAGATTTGGGAGATGCGTTTTAGAGATGCCTTGTACGATACAGAGCCACCGCTCCCATCGTGGATTGACCTCCGCCGTGAAGATACCGTTCCGGAAGTCGTCCAAGATGCACGGCCTGACTCACCAGAAGCGCCGAGGAGCACGGGGGAAGCAAGAAGACGCGAAATAGAGGAGGACACAATGTACGCAAGATGGGGAGAGAGTTGGTACAACCGATAAGGAGAGCGAAAGCGACGACAGATACGAAATGGAAGAGGTACCACAGGATTCTTGAGTGCAGTGAGGGATGTTGAGGACGGGCTTCCCTACATGTAGAGATGTATGGTTTAGCTGGATGGATCGTGGTGGTCAAATGGAAAAGACTACAAGGCCTGCACCTTGTCTTAGTTTATGCTGTATACTATTACAACAGCGACGAAACTCGATCAATATAGACATCTTACTTAGGACCAAATGAATCAGCTGATTAACTTTTGACAGCTACCAACATATCTGAGTATGTCATTGCGCTCATACGTCAAAAGTTAATCGACATCACCACCCGCGCATTCGGCCTCTCCGAGCGCATTCGTGATCTGCTCACCTCGTTTTATTTCAGGATTAACCCTCGAGCGCTCGTACAACAAGTTTCAACCGGTGTACCGACAAGAACACTGAGCTGCTAAACCCGCACTTTGTCATCCGGATCTGAGCAATGATTGAAAGTAATAATCATGCTTGTCGCACGAATCGATAGACCTAGGCTACGATAGTGTTGTCTGCGAAGAGTCCGCTGACTACAGTAACTTCGATGACGACGAAGCAACTGAGCCTACCACTCGCGATGTTTGCCCTGGTTGTAGAACAAGGTGGGTATGTGTATATGTTTTACGATGCGACTGCTACAATCGTACTGCTTTCGATATGGACGGTAATGAGGGCAGAGAGCTCATGCCACGCAAATGACAGCATGTACACGATGTTCAACTTCGTAGGGGTGTGTTCTTTCGGCACAATCCTGAGAGTATGACAACTTATGCGGCGACCATTCCAAAGAGTGTAGAGCGGGTAGAGGAGACGGTGGTCGTGGGTCGTTGGTCGTTCGGGGGTCCAACCTGTCGTTGCACGGGCGTAGGCATATGACGTGGTGTAGCTTATTGGAGTAGGTTCCGCGTGTACAACTCGACAGGCACTGTGTTGGAAGTTCGTAGTGGGAGGATCTGATGCAGAGCAAGTACGAAAAAGCGCGTCACTTGATCTAGTCCCCTCCGTCAGCTCTTCGACCCATGCGACTTGGAGGACTGCGACAGAGAAGTTACCAACTTGCGCGCGAGACCTCAATGAACCCCGATCAGCTCTGTCCCTTTCGCGATACAAGTGATCTGCTGGTGGTGGCATCTCCGCTCAGCAACACCTCTCTCATGGTCCATGGAGCCCGATGTAGTACGAGCCATTGTGGACACTGTCCTTCACTGCTGCAGGTTCGGGCGCTGAATGCAAAGCAGCTCGTTCAGTCGCTATCCTCAATCAAAGCCTGGTGCGATTCACTTTCGTAGGGTGAGGTCGTTGTTGTTGTTGTGTTAGTTAGGAGGCGGCTATCAGCAGAGCGCAACAGCGCGCGTCGCTGTGTCACCCCTGCCGCCAAGAAAGACCCCCGCTCCTCTCGCTGATGGCTTGTCGCGCATCCATGAGTGTGGCGTGGAGTACCCAACGACGGCCACCATACTTCGCTGCCA